TGTCTAAAGTCTAATGAAGCAAGTCCCAAATTCATAGTTGGGTAAAAGTCCAATACAGTGATTGGAAATGGTAGTACTGCACTGTAATTGTGCTCTAGCATTGTCGAAGATGAGAAAATAATGGTAATTCCTTTTAGAAAAAGAAATAGCCTTCTGATTAAATCTATTGATAAGAGAAACCTTGATTTACTCAGGACTGTGTGCAATACATTGCTTTTACTGTCTTATTCCCACCTGGAGTGATATGTGTAGAAACCCTCCTGGAATTCCTGACTCTCTGATTTGAGTTTTGCCGGGCTTCTTATGTGATTTTCACTTATCTCTTTAAACAAACATCTGCCGTGTGTTAGCAATCCTGGGTAATGACTGATGAAATCTTTCCTTCTGATGAAAAATTATCATGCAGAGCCACTCATTGTAAATGTTTTTCTTCCAGCGTATAATGGCCAGGGTTTACTGGAAAAATAAATGATTAATATTTCTTTGTAAAGCAATCTGAGGTGGGGCAGGGGTATTAATGTTAAAGATTGCCATCTCATTAGTCTCCAAAGGTGTGGTGCGGTCTCAATTCTGATCTGGTGGAGTCCTAGTTAGAGCAAGTAAGAGGATCCGGGTTGGATTCTCGTGCGGGGCGAAACCTTAGGCAAGTTTCGTTACTCCAAATGCCTATGTTTACCAAGCAGTAAGTAGAAACCCAGTTGTTAGTTAATTTGAGGATCGCTTTCTGGGATAATAATCCCTCCGCCCCCACAAAAAATGAAAGTTTGGTCACTCAATCCACGACTGTTTGTGGGACCCTGCTGTGCATAATTGGCTGCTGCATTTCACCCACAAAATATATCGTCAATTCACTTTACCATATATTCTGCGAAGCTCTTTGAGATGTCTCATCGACGTGGTAAGGCACTAAATCAAATCCAAGGATTATTATTATTATCTCATTAGTCTCCAAAAGTGTGGTGGACTCTCATTTCTGATCTTCTGATTCTCTTGATTTGCACATCAGAGTGCCAGCGTTGACTATTTATTGCGTAGGTGGTTTCTCATCCTTACTGTACAGCCAGGATTTTCTCCCAAACCTTACCATGTCTTTTTGTGTAGCTACATAATAACAATGTCTTAACAGGTTAGGTTTCTTGTATAAGCACAAGGTTAGTTGAATTAATCCAGCACAAAAGTACAAGTAACTGAACTATAATAAAACCTAATGTCATTTTGACAAAACTCCATGTCAATCGTGACTTAATAATAAGGCCTGCATGGCCCTGATAAGAAAAATTGCTGTAAAATCATGGTCTCTATAGCCCTGACAAATGAAGTCATGATAAGAAAAACTGATTTGCTGATCCCTGTGAGTTATTAACAGAGTACTGTAATGAGAAAATAAATGATTACCTCTTAATAAGTACCTGATGTGACGACATTCCAAAAATCCTAAACGCCTCGGAAGGAAAAAATGGTGAAACCCTAGGAGGGTTTTGTGATTTTATATTGCAGAAAGATCCAGCAAAATTATAATAAGCAATTACCAAATACTATGCTGTTCAATAAGCTACTGATAGGGTTCCCTGTTTATTAGTAACAAAGCATGTATGTATCATTTTGTACACCTTCAATATTTCGCAGTGGTTTTGAACAATTTCATATCACCTCCGAGCGATTAGGAGAGAATATGCATCATAATAGCGCCTTAGCACTTCAAAATATCTCAGTGATTTTCAATTAATCACACACTGTGACACCTTTGTCGTCAAACACTGCCATTTGTGAATACAAGAAGTTCCTACCAGCAGCCGTCAAGACAACCAACGGCTCTGGAGGGTTGCTGGCCAATGTAGGAAACTTCATACTGTAACGTTTATTCAGTCAGGGAAGTCCTGATACCTCAGTTAGTAAAGGCACTGCCCAACATGGAACTAAGGAATTCCAAACAGGCCATTGCTTGGTTTTAATCCTCAAATGCACTGATGTATTGTAATATTCAGCTTCCTCGCTGGGCTCACACATGGAGGTTGCTTACATGGGCAGAAGTCATCTAGGATAGTAATAATAAGAATTATAATAATCCTGGCATTTGATATAGTGCCTTATCATGTCGAGACATCTCAAAGAGCTTCACAGAATATATTGTAACGTGTTGTGTATTTTGTAGGCATAACACAGCATCCAATTGCACATAGCAGTGTCCCACAAACAGTCATGGATTGAATGATCCAATTTTTTTTGTGTGTGTGGATCTGTGAAAACATTCCCCAGCAAGAGTCAACAGTTTCAGGTGAAGCGAGTCGAAAATAATTGGAAGGGCAAAAAAACATATTCAATCATACCTCACCTGAGCACTTGGAAATATGTTTGGAAGTGAATAGGTGGAGGCAGTACAGTATCGGATTTTGGTAGAAAGCCATCAGGGCTCTTTCAGAAGAGCAGCTTTAGATAGGAAAATAAATCTCCTTCCAAAAAAAAAGTATGTCGTGTTCTCAACACATTTACGACAGTCTGTCAGCAACTGCACAAATTATAATTCCCAATATATGAGACAAAGTCTATCCTTAGGAGATACCATCTCACTCTCATTGAAGATGCCCATGATCAGCTCAAACACACTGTGCTTTGGATAGTCTGTCTATTCATGATGAGTGAATTGACATTGTGTGAAATAAACTGATACCCTGGAAAACCCCTCATTAGCTTGTAATCTTCCTGTAGAAGTGCCAATCAAATGATAAAACTGAACAAGGTCTGTTCTACAGGCAATTTACAACAAACAGTGTACGGCAGCATTTACTTTACCAATGAGGATAATCTCTTAAATCGACAATGGATCTACTCGACCTGTATATAGTCGGCTTATCTGACAGACACTGGTGCGAAAACACCAGCATGATTGGGAGATAAATTGACCTCTCACTAAAAGTTCTGACGAGAGAATCAATCGATAGAAACACACATAAAAGCTGCAGAGAATTTTTTTTTGTGAAATACACAGGAAACCCCATCTATTATCAATTTCAGGATTTTAAACCTAGATGTTCTTTTCCCCTCCTCCCTCCTGAAAACTAAAAAACCATGCAGTTTTGGACTTTCTTAAACAACCCATTTGATGGGTTTGATGATTCAACTGCAATGACAATTCTAATGTTTATTGTGAATTATAAAGCACTTTGGCAGATTGAAAAGTGACATTGAACCAAGAGAGTGATTGAAATGTGAATTTTACCTTCACTTTTCATTTGTGCCCAGGAAGTACACAGACATTTCATTATGTTTATTGATGCCGGCTTGTTTTGGCCGCCACTACCTTAGTGCAAACTTCAATTGGACTGAAATACCTCAGACAGATGTACCCCACAGCATGTCCTTTGTAGGTATATAGATATATATATGTATACATATTTCCCTTTCATACCTTGTGGTTGATCAAAATCCACAGAGGTAACAAAATTAGTCAATTTCAGCCTCAAGTTGTGTGTTCCAATGATGCCTGGTTGATTCAAGGGTGGGGGGGGGAGACGGGACTTTAAGTTCACGTAAGAAGCAGATATGCAATAAGAGGTCAAATTTGCAGATATTACACCTTCAGATGAACCCTGACCTATAGGAGATAGGTTTGCTTTGATTCCTCCAGTTGCTGAAGTCAGTCAACTCCATAGTCCTTTAGCATGTACACTGGTTACGTGTCCCACCTCATGTCCTTGGGAGAACCCGTTACACAGAATCCAGTCTAGGACCAATCGTCTAGAATAGACCTCCCCCATCTCCATTTGGCAAAAACAGTTGACTGTGTATGGATTAACTCAAATGAAAAAAAGGCTGGATGAATATCTGTTTTGCAACAGGAAATGCATTTAGAAAGGATGATGATGTGGCTTGGCTAATTCTGGACAGATGGCAATTGCAGTACTCATTTCCAGGCGATGGCATTGGAACCAGATAAGTCGTGAGAATTTCAAAATAGTCATGATTGAACAGCATTAGCTAATGGTACACTGACCTTACAGCACTGCCACTGACAGCCATCCTAATGGGTTTTAGAGAGTCAACACCTGAGAAAGGTTGTGGGAATGGGAATAACCTATGTTTCCTACAAAATTATTTTTTTAAAATAAAATTCGAACTACAATTAAACATTTTTTTGATATAGCGCCTTTCAGGTCAGGAGGACATCTTAAAGCACTTCACAGGATAAAAAGCAACAAAGCTGTAACTCCAGAGAGATTAGGGAGAAAAGACTGGACAATATTAGATCGCCTAAATTATCTTTCTCGTTCATTTCAGTTCAGCCTTCACAAAGAGGATATTGCAGTCATTCCCTCAGTGAGGGGAGTACAGAGAGACAAGCCACAGAAACATCTCATTGCTGTAATAGAAGGCCGGAGGGAAGGGGTTCTGGAAGGATAAGATTTGAAGCACTTTGAGACATCTTGAAGATGTGATAAGGCGCTGTATCAAATGCAAGGATTATTAAATAGTATATTAATATCAAAGGCCAAACAACCTTCTTCACCCGAACCCCTCTTATAATCCGAGCGCAGACACGTCAAGAAAGCCAAGTCATATGTTGCAATTTTGGTGTCACCCTCTGTTGCAAGCTGGATTTTTTTTGCTCTGAACCACATTAGGAGTCACAGCATCCGATTTATACTGGCGATTGAATTGGAGAGGGGAAAAAAAAGGGGCATTTACCCACTGTTAATTTCACATTGCCCATTTGTTCTGACGCAATAAACTGCGGTTCATTTACAAGAATTCTGAAATGCAAACAAAACCTTGTCGTTTTCAAAAATAATTCATGCATCACTCCGCGATTGTTCAGCTCAATTTTAATTTTTACGTGTGAATTCTCAAACTTCCATTCCGTTACCTTGCACACACAGTGATCTGTGTGGGAGTGATATTCAGATGAGCTGGAACACTTTGTGAAAGACCATTATCTCATCAAAAGCAGAAAGACGCTCAGGAAAACTGCACACATTATTAAAAACAAATCCTATCACACTGGGAAAGTTGGCTAGCATTTCTTTACAAACCACTTTATTGAATGAATTGTTATGGAACTAGCCTCACAGATGTTCCACAATCTCAGATCTCCCTCATCTCCAATTGGCAGAATGTCACTCAAGCCACACAATAGAGCAACATTTCAATTTATGTTTCCTCGCCCGATGTAGCAGTTCATTTCTCTACGAGCACATTGAACATTTTCTTTGAGCTACTTTGACAGTAACTTGAATGGGCAAATTTAAGATCAGCCGATTGTGATGGAAGCGTGGGGAAATGTTCATTTCAAGCTAGCAAGCTGATCAAAATGTTTCATATAGTTTATGAATCATCCTCAAATGGCTTGTATTAAGTTTCAGTTCGAGTTACTGCTGGCTACTAGACGTCATGATAGAACACATGTTCGACCCAGAACATTTTGGAGCAATGTTTAAACATCACTTGTGATAATTCAAGTTCCACACTGCAGAGCAGATCAACCACAACGAACCCTGTAACTTAGTTTCAAAGGCAAACAAAAATGTGCTGGGGTAGAACGTCAAAAATATTAGCTCCAAATCCATTTAATACATATGTACTTTTGGACAACAAACAAAATCGTTACAGTAGATTATACTGATAAAAGTGAAACATTTTCGGTTAGTTGTACTCAAAACGACACATTAGTGAAAGTGAAGTCTTTCGTTGCCATAATACAAAATGTTTGTTTTCTGATTCGGATCATTAAATTCTCAGTAAAGCATTTCTGCATTCACCAAAGCAACTGTGAGGCATTAATTTGTTAATATTAAACCACAGTTGTGCAGTGAACTTCTGCCCCTGGATATATGTGTAGAAAATCAGAGCGAGCAACAAGAAGAACGTAAACTCAACAGAAAAGCTTTCCAGTAATTTTCTCTCTATACAAGTACTGCATAAAATCCTTCCCCCTACACACACACACACACACACACATATTTGAGAGTGGCTGTTTACAGCATTGCAGATTCGAACACAAACCAAGAGATGTAATAAGGGTGAAAACATTTGGTAAACCTATCGTGTTTGTTTAGTGGAATTGCTTCAAGACTGTGGGTTTGCAATATTGCCTGAGGGCTTGGTGCTATGGAAACATCCCTATTTATACTGTGGGACAATTTCTACACCAGGTGGAACAGACAAAAACAGTACATTATCAAGCTCCAGGGTTCATTTGCCCAGATCCTCTCCTCTTCCTCTCTTGACAACACGAGCTCTTGCTCTATAGATCACCTGCTGATACCTTGCTCAAGTGGGCATTTTCCTTCCCATGAGTTGAGACAACGAGTGGCCAATGCAAGCAATGGAGCTTCAGAAAGGTTCCCGTCAAGCTGTGAACCAGTTCAGCACAGGCCAGGCATCTGACCTTCCGGCCTGTGGCAATGAATTCAGTGCTTTTTTCTAACTGAGTAATCGGAGGAATGGAAAGCATTTAACGTAAGAAAATCACAGGTTAAACAGAGGCATGTGAGCGCATTTTAACCTATGATTTTGATAAGAGACTGAAAAAACACACAGCGATCTATAATTGTAGCAGTATTAAATATGTGGCTGAGAAGCTTCTGTGAAAGACCGTTATATAGTATAGTATAGATACAAGAGTAGCAATGCATAAAAGTTGCTTCCAAATGCAGTTTGTACAGAGAATAAAATGGATGCAGTGTGTGGCTCTTCAAACATTTATCTCTTTTTCTTGCTCTCTTTCTTTGCTTTCTTGCCCGCTGATGGAGCTGCAGGTTTCTGTTTTTTAGCGCTGTCCGAAGGCTTTGCTTCCGATTGTTCCCATTCCTGACAAGTTAAAGTTAGGATAAAAAGAAACACATTAAATAACATCGTCTTCTTTTTTACCACGCTCTCTCTCTGAAATTCAAATATAATAATAATAATCCTTGCATTTGATATAGCGCTTTTCACGTCTTCTAGACATCTCAAAGCGCTTCACAGAATATGCTGTAAAGTGAATTGACTGTATATTTGTGGGCGAAACGCGGCAGATTGAAAACGACCAATTTATTTTTGTTTTGTTTTGGACTCCACAAATGAGGTCTAACTTTCAAGACCTCCCGGTATTTGAAACATGCAAGCTTTAGAGGTTCATCTTTCACCATTTATCTTGAGATGACATTATTAAAAAAAAACTGATCAGACAATGAGCAGATACCCATCTCCTAGTGAGTCACACTTCAAAGACGTCCTTTGTGAATCGATTCAGAATGATGAGATATAAATGCTTCTCACACAAATCTACGAAAGTCTGGCTTAAGTGTTTGTGGCTTAGCTCCAGATGTAATCTTATAAAAGGTGGACTCTGGCATGGAATAGGCTATTTTCAAAGTGCACATTCATCATGTTTCCATCAGCTTTGAACTGAACTGAGTGCAAGACCATGAGATGAGTTCTCTGCTGCCTGCCAAACAAGGCGATATAATACTTCATCAATAGTTGGCTATTGGCTTCATAAAACATCGGCAATGGTGAGAAGTGCAGATTGCGTTTCTTACTCTCTTACTCCACCAACTTTTCCAGCAAGGGCTTTGCTGGCTGTTTTCCTAGAAAAGATCGAGTAACTTTGAGCCCAGTTGAAAAGAAAATGCACGGCAGCAGATCAGCAAGTTAAGAAACATTGCTGACACCACAGCATGATCAGAGAGAGCTGGATGTCTAACAGTACAGTTTCTACTAGGGAGCAAATAAGACTTGGAGGTCAATGATATTCGGCCAATACTTTATAGTGACCCAACTGGGGATAAATCAAACACCCCCTTGGCCTACCGATACACAGTCACTATGCGGTACAGCAAATCCTGCACAGTGCTTTTGAGACATTTTGGTGATGTGAACGGAGCTATATCAAATGGAAAGATTGTTATTATTAAAACTAACACCAGGACCCACTACAGAAAGCACATGCTCCGTACACCATCAGTCTATTAACTCAGGTAAAAGTTTCATGTTGATTAAATGACATTAACACGCAATGTGCTGTCAGAGCATTCCTGAAATCACAATTTGTTGCAACTATTGTTATTCCCCTCACTCCACCCTCCCTCCCCCCAGCACCACCCAACCCAACTGACTGGTTATATGTTATTCACTCAATATTTCCCCCCGTTTGTTTCATACTATTTGAAGATTGCAATAAACAATTGTGCAACATAACAAGGCAACACTGTAATTATTGGATATAATTCTTACACTGTGAAGTCAGAACACAAATAAACCCTCCACGCCCTTTCAACACTACTTAATAACATTAAACAGACCTTGTTTAGTCATTTTCATTACGCAATCCTGTTATTTTGATATAAAGGCGAGTTCACGGTTGAAATGTTAAGCTTTTATTGCACAAGGAATGGAATCATTTGGCGATGCAAGTGTGCATTTGTTTTCCACGGAAGAACACTGCTCCTTGCGTTTGAAAACCATAATAAGGAATGGCAGTGTTTCAAAAACATGCTTTCGTTTGTAACTTATGCACTGAAGCCATGCAGTGAACCACAATGCTGCCACAATCAATGTGTGGAAGTCTCTGCTGTCCTCTGTTGTCTCAGTGGGGAAATGCAGTCACTCTCAGTGGTGCATAATGTGGGCACATGAATCAAGACAACTACTTTGAGACGTCTCGAAGATGTGATAAGGCGCTATATCAAATAAAAGGATTATTATTATTATTACTCCTTGCAACCTCAGTGGCTATCCGTTCTTGTCTGTTCTTGGATTCATTGCAATACCGTAACTTCAAAGCTTTAATGAGGTGAATCTTTCCGTTCCTCAGATACCTGGCGAGCCAACGATCGTTAGTCCATCTCCTCTGGTTCCTGGACACTCACGGCTCTGTCCCATGATGAGTAAGTAGCCTTGAAGATCAGTGCGAATTATCACACTGCCCTGCTTTGTGAGGAGCTTGTTGGCATGATCCATCGCACAATGTGTGTGCGCGTGAATGCTTAAATTTTTCACAGTAAAACTTGTGAAGGGCAAAGCTTCTGGATTGGATTTGGCGGGTGACAATAGCAGAGTGATGTAACCTCCAACACTTCTGAAGTATCGGCAGCTGTACAATAAGATTATCACTCAGTCTGCGGTTTCCTTTCTCCTTGCAGTGGTAGCAAAGACAGCTACTGTCAGGGCTCTGGGAAGACATTCACTCACGATGGAGTTGCATTAATGTTCCTATTGGTGGCAACCTCGATGACAAATTAAGTGGCAACGCTGCCCCCCACAGGAGTCGAGATCCAAGTACAGTAAAAACTGCCAAAGACTGATCCGTACAACCCATATAATCACCCAAGTCCCACAATTCCTGTTCAAGAGTTTATATTCTATGCAAGTTTGACATATGTCACACTTTGCAAAAGTCGTATTAAACGCACTGTCCCAACTGATACGACTTCTGTGAGGTTTACACTCTAAAAGTCCTTTGATCATAATATGATTGAATTTGACGTTGGATTTGAGAGGGAGGAGGCCGAGTCCTAAACCAAGGTTTTAAATTTAAGTAAGACAAACTTCGATGGGATGAGAGATATATTGACCACAGTAAACTGGGCTGAACTGTTAGTGGGTAAACCCGCAGATGAACAATAGGAAGTATTCAAAGAGGTATTTAAGAGGAGCAAAAAGTATGAAAAAAAATTTGCAAAGGATATTAAAACCAATAGTAAAAGCGTTTATAAGTATATTAAAGAAAGAGAATGGTCAAGGGGAATGTGGGTACGTTAAAGTCAGATGTAGGTGAGACTATAACGGAAAATAAGGAAATGGCTGACTTGTTAAATAAATACTTTGCTACCGTTTTTACAGTAGAGGATGAGGACAGAACACCAGCCGTACAGGGGAATCTAAAAATAAGTCAAAGAGAAATGCTTCATAAAATTAATATAAATAAAAATGGTAAAGGAGAAAATAATGAAACTCGTGATAGACAAATCTCCAGGACCTGATAGTTTCCACCCCAGCGTGTTAAAGGAAATAGGAGGAAATTGCAAATGCATTCGTTATAATTTTCCAAAGCTCACTAGATTCAGGAATTGTGCCCTTGGATTGGAAAATTGCGAATGTCACCTCTTTATTTAAGAAGTGAGGGAGGGAGAAACCAGGAAACTACAGACCTGTCAGCTTAACGTCAGCCATAGAGAAAATACTGGAATCCATCATCAGGGGCAGAGTGACTGAACACTTGGACAGGTATGAGCTAGTCAAAGAGAGTCAGCATGGATTTTTGAATGGTAGATTGTGTCTGATTAATCTAGTTGAATTTTTTGAGGAGGTCACTAAAATGGTGGATAAGAGAGTGTCTATGGATGTCGTTTATATGAACTTTCAGAAGGCATTTGATAAGGTTCCACGCAAAAGATTATTAGTGAAAATGGAAGCGCACCTTGTGACGTGGCTTGGCAATTGGTTGGGAGGCAGGAAACAGAGAGTAGGGATAAAGGGAATGTTCTCTGTTAGCCGGGATGTGATGTATATATATACACACACACAATATATAATATAAATGACTTGGATGAAGGAATAGAAAGTTTTATATCCAAGTTTGCAGATGACACTAAGCTAGAAGGCTCAGTAAGTTGTGCAGATGGGAGTAGGAAGTTACAAGGGGACTTAGACAGGTTAAGTGAGTGGGCAAAGCTGTGGCAGACGGAGTTCAATGTAGGGAAGTGTGAGGTCCATCCACTATGGACCAAAAAAAGATAAAGCAGAATATTTTCTTAATGGGGAGAAATTACGAACTGTGGAGGAGCAAAGAGATTGGGTGTCCATATCCACAAATCACTAAAAACTAGTTCTCAGGTGCAAAAAGTAATCAAAAAGGTAAATGAAATGTTGGCCTTTATCTCAAGGGGCCTGGAATACAAAAGGGAAGAAATGATGCTTCAGTTGTATAGAGAGTTAGTCAGACCCCATCTGGAGACTGTGTTCAGTTTTGGGCACCACACCTCAAGAAAGGTATATTGGCCCTGGAGGGCTGCAGCGCCCAGGCCTAAAAGGGTTAAGTTACAAGGAAAGGCTGTGTAACTTGGATTGTATTCCCTTGAGTTTAGAAGGTTGAGGGGTGATTTGACTGAGGTATTTAAGATGATAGAGATTTGATAGGGTAGATACAGAGAAGCCATTTCCTCTGGTGTTGAATCCAAAACAAGGGGGGATAGTCTGAAAATTAGAACCAGGCCATTCAAGAGTGAAATCAGGAAGCATTTTTTCACTCACAAGGTGGTAGAAATCTAGAATTCTCTTCCCCAAAAGGCCGTGGATGCTGGATCCATCCACACCTTCAAGAGTGAGGTTGATAGATTTTTGGTAGGTCAGGGTATTAAGGGATATGGGGAGAAATATGGGAATTGAAAGGGTTAGTTGAGGTACAGATCAGCTATGATCTAATTAAATGGCAGAACAGGCTCGAAGGGCTGAACGGCCTCCTCCTGTTCCTATGTTGTTATGTAGAAGTGGTTTCAGTTTCTCTGATGGCTGTGTGAATAAATGCTTTGCTAAGTGACACTGTGCCTGCTTTAAGAGACCCACATTAAATTCCCAGATTGTGCGGAGGTAACTCAGCTGAGTCAAAACAGATCCACTTTATGAACAAACAATCGTCATTCTCAACTGTCGCAGATTACAAGAACATCAATCTTCCTCAAGGCAAATGATAGCAAATGTCATTACTTATTACTGCAATCTGCTATTCCGCTAAATAAGAATGTGCAAGTCAATTTACTGCTGTACTACTGGATGCAATATATAGCAGTGTCTGTCTGGGTACATCAAATGAACAATCTAGGAATCTAATGTAGGTCTTTTAAAACAGGCAGTGTCGCTTGGCAAAGCATTTACTCACACAGCCATCAGAAAAGCTGGAACTAGTTCGTTCTAGAGAAGTAAACCTCACATAAGTCATATCAGTTGAGACCATACATTTAATACAACTGTTGCAAAGTGTGATTTATCTCAAACTTGAACAGAATATAAACTCTTCAATGGGAATTGTTCGAAGGTTTATACGTATGACTTGGATGATTATATGGTTTATACAGATCAGCCTGAGCTGTTTTTTACTGTACTTGGATCTCGATTTTATAAACTCTTTCTCCCCTGCTTTCAATCAACGTCACTTGAAAGAGGGGAGACGGGGGGGAGGGATTGAGGGAGAGTGTTCCAGAGTTTTGGGGTGGCTGAAAGCGCGACTTCCGATGGTGGGGCGGAGGGTGCGAGGGGCGAGCAGGAGGCTGGTGCCAGTCGAGTGGAGGAGCCGGGTGGTGGATCGGGCAGTGGGGAGGTCAGAGAGGTAGGGAGGTGCCAGGGGGTGAAGCGATTTGAACGCGAGTGTGAGGATTTTAAAGTCGATTGTTAGCATCATTTTTAACTGTCAAGAATCAAATCCACCCTACATTTGCAGGATACGGAGTGTGTCGTGGTAGATGGGAGGCCATTTACAAGCAAGAGAACAGTTTTTTAAAGACAACTGGGAGAGAAGCCAGAAAACGCTTTCTCTTTGAAGCTCGTAAAAGGTTTAACATTGGATTTTCTAAACCTTCAGTTCTGACCGTTCTATTATCCAATCTGGTGGTAAAAATGTTTAGGGAAAAAAATTAAACATTGTATTGAACGAAACTGTAATCTCCTTGTTCCTCAAATACTCCACCACAAATATTGACCCGCAAACTTTATAAGACTTTGAGCATATATTTGATGGGTAAATGTCTTTTCCTAATCAGTTGCCTCCAAAACATTTGAATAAATATTGAACTTGGGTATCATAAAAACATATTGCAATGCATTTGGTCAATATTTCCATTGAGCTTGGAATGGTTTGCAAAAATTTATTTCTCCATATTATACACATTCCAGTCCGGCACAGGTTCCTGAGCAGTTGATTACTGTTCAGTTTCCCACCGAAAAATGCTTAGATTTCTTTGCAATAGTCGTATTTTAAAAGTTGGATAAATGACTAAATCATAATGGTTTCTTTGTCACAAGTAATCCCAAATCCTAAGCAAATCATTTCCTGACTTGTAACACTCTATCACACTTACTGGTTGCATTGAAGTCTGGATACACAGCGTTCCATTTGAAACAAGTGAACCAAGTGCTCAAAATTAAGTCTTGACCCATTATTGCATTCGCACTTACCGGCTGCAGTGATGAAGTACTACACATGCAGTACAACACAGTGAAACAAGCACGGAAAACAAGATACTTGTCTACTGTATTTGTTGTGTTATTTGTATAAAATCCGACTTCTACATAACTTTGCATTAGTTATATATGATATGACTTATGCAAGTTTGCCTGCAAGTCATATTTCGCACAAGTCGTATTAAATATTACGGTCCTGACTGACACAATTTATACGCGTTTTACTGTATGCAGCAACAGCAATTTAAATCCGGAGGAAAACAATGAAGAGTTCTTACTGGCTCTGGTGATTTGGAAGGTAGAATGATGGACAATATGCAAATAATCTGGAAAATGGCTCCTAGGAATAAGCCATAGCGTAGGACATGGTCGAAGAAGTTTGGTTCTGGTATTTCAGGAGGCGACAGATCAAATTCCGTGGACATTTTTCTCCGGTGTCTGCCTGAGGGCTTGATTGCTAGGAAGGCGGCCTCAATTTGTTTTAACACAGTCCTGCCGCTTTGGGGATCTGGGAAGAAATATTAGGAAATGCAAAAGAACATAAGATGTCATCCAGCGAGTGCAAAGACCACTGCATTTACAAACACAGAGGAGAATGACCTACATCTCAATACATATTGCGATATACTGGAATTTCTCAATGTTATTTACAATAATTGCAGGATAGGTTTGAATAAGATACTTGCAAAAGTTATGATTGATCATGAAAACAATCCCGGGAACATTTTTTAAAAAAAACACAAGACAACAAGAAGTTAACCCAGTAAAATCTAATTTCTGCAATAACAGTCAAGTAACCCAGGCCCCATGAGATGTGGATCACACAGCAGCAGCAATTGCTTTTAAGTTGAGAACCCGATTCAAAGCGGCCATAAGCGTGGTTCAGGCAGGAAACGGACATGGCATACTCCTGCAGCACCACCACCACCACCACGACGACAAGCATTTATATAATCCATTTAAAAAAAATGAATGAAAAAAATGACGTGCACTGAATCCACGACTGTCTGTCTGTGGGACGCTGCTGTGCGCAATTGGCGGCCGCGTTTCACCCACAATGTAGACAGTCAATTCGCTTTACAATAGAGGTTCGGAGTCAAGGGATGCCGTGGCTGAACAACAACAACAAGATTACATTTGTATGGAGTCTTTCACGTCGGGAGGACGTCCCAAGGCGCTGGACAGGGAACAGCATTTGAGACCCGAGTTGGGGTCGGGGGGTGGGGGGGGAGAAGGGAGGGGAGGGGAATGGTGGGGGGTGACCGATCGCATGGTCGAAGAGGCTGAAAGCACATATTGAGGATCTTGTCACCAAGAAATAACAATTACATCCCAAAATCGGTGGTGGGTGGGGTGGGGAGGGGGGGGGGGGGAGAGAGGGAGGCAGACATTGTTGGTATAAATGCATTCCAATGGGTAATTCCGGCCCTGAGGAAGTTTCCCAGTTCGCTCCCTGATGGGCTGTACTCTCTGAATCCCCTTTGTGCCGAGTCTCGGTTACAATGTCTCCCTCACAGCCCTCACACCAGGGGAGAGTGTGGCAGCCAACACTAACACAGACAGACAGACACAGCGAGAGCCACAGCCAGAGGCAGGGCAGACAGCCCCAGGGCAGGGCAGACAGCCCCAGGGCAGGGCAGACAGACAGCCCCAGGGCAGGGCAGACAGGGCAGGGCAGACAGCCCCAGGGCAGGGCAGACAGCCCCAGGGCAGGGCAGACAGCCCCAGGGCAGGGCAGACAGGGCAGGGCAGGGCAGACAGCCCCAGGGCAGGGCAGACAGGGCAGGGCAGGGCAGACAGGCAGCCCCAGGGCAGGGCAGACAGGGCAGGGCAGACAGCCCCAGGGCAGGGCAGACAGCCCCAGGGCAGGGCAGACAGGGCAGGGCAGGGCAGACAGCCCCAGGGCAGGGCAGACAGGGCAGGGCAGACAGCCCCAGGGCAGGGCAGACAGCCCCAGGGCAGGGCAGACAGCCCCAGGGCAGGGCAGACAGGGCAGACAGGGCACTGAGCCGCGAGGCGAGACATTGTAACGCGAGGCGAGACATTGTAACAAAAGCCGAGACTGGAAACACTGTGACTGAGCTCAGGCTCAGGCCGCTCCCCACACCCCCCACACACCCACACACACACACCCCCCACACACCACCACCCCCCCACACACCCCCACACACCCCCCTACACACACACACACCCACACACACACCCCCCACACACACCCCTACACACACACACCCCCCCCACACACACCCCCCCCCCACACCCCCCCCCACACACACACACACCCACACACACACACCCACACACACACCCCCCACACACACCCCCACACACACACACACCCGCACACCCACCCGCACCCACACACCCCCACACACACACCCGCACACCCCCCACACACCCCCACACACACCACCACCCCCCCACACACCCCCACACACCCCCCTACACACACACCCACACTCCCCCCCCCACACACACACACACACCCCCCTACCCCCCCCCCACACACCCCCCCCACACACCCCCCCTACACCCCCACACCCCCCCCACACACACACACACCCACCCCCACAACCCCACACACACACCCCACACCCCCCCCCCTACACCCCCCCCACACACACCCCCCCCACACACAGACCCACACACACACACACCCCCACACACAGACCCACCCCCCCACACACACACACCCCCACACACAGACCCACACACACCCCCACCCCCCCCCTTTCCCGGGACGGAGGGGCTCACATGCTGAGGCCGCCGTTCCCTAAACGCCGAGCAAAACAGCAGCTGAAACACAGTCACTGAGACAGACGGAAGTAACGCCTCTACCGCCCCCACTGAGCACAGGCACTGCCACAGGGAGTGAGAGAGGGGGGGAGAGGGAGGGAGGGAGTGAGTGAGAGAGGGAGGGAGGGAGAGAGTGAGAGAGGGAGGGAGGGAGAGAGAGAGTGAGAGAGGGAGGGAGGGAGAGAGTGAGTGAGAGGGAGAGAGAGAGTGAGGGAGAGGGAGGGAGGGAGGGAGAGAGAGAGTGAGAGGGAGTGAGAGAGGGAGGGAGGGAGGGAGAGAGGGAGTGAGAGGGAGGGAGAGAGTGAGTGAGAGGGAGGGAGGGAGGGAGAGAGGGAGGGAGGGAGAGAGGGAGTGAGAGGGAGGGAGAGAGGGAGGGAGGGAGGGAGAGAGGAGTGAGAGGGAGGGAGAGAGTGAGTGAGAGGGAGGGAGGGAGAGAGGGAGGGAGGGAGAGAGGGAGTGAGAGGGAGGGAGGGAGAGAGTGAGTGAGAGGGAGTGAGAGAGGGAGGGAGGGAGAGAGGGAGTGAGAGGGAGGGAGGGAGGGAGGGAGAGAGTGAGTGAGAGGGAGGGAGAGAGGGAGGGAGGGAGAGAGGGAGTGAGAGGGAGGGAGGGAGAGAGTGAGTGAGAGGGAGTGAGAGAGGGAGGGAGGGAGGGAGAGAGTGCGTGAGAGGGAGGGAGAGAGAGTGAGAGAGAGAGAGGGGGAGGGAGAGAGAGGGAGGGAGAGAGTGAGTGAGAGGGAGTGAGAGAGGGAGGGAGGGAGAGAGAGAGGGAGGGAGTCGTTGATTTCGATTGATTGACTGAACAGATCTGACAGATCAGTGCCGTCGAGCTTCTGATCGCCAATCACCAGCGTCAGCTAAATAATTCAGTAAACAAACAAACAAATAAATAAGTGAGTCACGCAGTCCACACCCGTTTGTGCGACACCGCTGTGCGCGAGTGGCTGCTGCGTCGGCGACAAAAACACACAGTGAATTCGTCCCCCAGTGTATATTTCTGCGAAGGGCTCTGAGACGTCTCGATGGCGGGATCCGGTGCTACTTCTCAGCCCCGAGGCTCTGGAACTCTATCCCCCAGTGCCTTCGCCGCCTCCTCCCTTTCCTCCTTCAAGGCCGGTCTCAAGACCTTTCTCTTTGACCGTGCCTTCAGCTCCGCTCTCGACTCTCTACCCCCTCCTCGCTCCCTCCCTTCCCTCCCCTCACCCTGACCATTTCCCCCCTATGCTCGGGTCCTGACCCAACTGTACAACGCCTTGGGACGTCCTCCCGACGTGAAAGGCGCTCTATAAATGGAATCTTGTTGTTGTACTTCAAACGCAAGGATGATCGTCAGTATAAATTGCCGTTTTTTTTTGTTTTCAGGTTTTGTTTTGCAAAATAGCTGGAAACGTACAAAAAGGAGAGGGAAGCGTCTGAAATAAAATGGTAGATTGACATGTGGGGATGAAGCCCTTCAGCCGCTCACCACATCTTTCTCCTTTTGGTTTAAGGTTTTACCTCCTTTATCCAACATTTTTTTTTCTGTTTTAATGTCAGATTGTTCTTGGTCATCATAGAATCATAGGATTATACAGCACAGAAGGAGGCCATTCGGCCCATCGGGTCTGTCCCGGATCTTTGAAAAGAGTTCTCCAAATCAATCCCACTCCCCCGCTCTCTCCTCATAGTTCTGCAAACTTGTCCTCCCCAAATAATTATCTACTTCTCTCTTAAAAGTTGTTATCAAATCGGCTTCCACCACCCTTTCAGGCAATGTATTCCAGATCCGAACAACTCGCTGTGTGAAAACATTTCTCCTCACCTCCCCTCTGTTTCTTTTAACAACTATTTTAAATCGGTGTCCTCGGGTTACCGACCCACCCGCCAGTGGAAATAGTTGCTCCCTTGTTCACCCTATCGAATCCTTCATAATTTTGAAAACGTCATTAAATCTCCTCTTAACCTTCTCTGCTCCAAAGAGAATAATCCCGGCTTCTCTCGCCTCTCCTCATAACTGAAGTTGCTCATTCCTGGTACCATCCTGGTAAATCTCCTTTGCTCCTTCTCCAATGCTTTGACATCCTTCCCAAAGTGTGGTGCCCAGAACTGAACACAGTCTCTAGTTGAGACCTAACCAGTGTTTTATAAAGGTTCATCATAACTGCCTGACTTTTGTATTCTATGCCCCTATTTATAAAGCCTAGTTTCCCGTATGCTTTTTTAACAGCTAACTGTCCTGCCACATTCAAGGATTTACTTATATGAACCCCCACATCTTTTTTCCTTCCCGCCCTTTAAGATTCTACCATTCAGCTTATATCGCCTCTCCTCATTCTTCCTTCCAAAATGCATTACTTCCCATTTCTCCAACGTTTAACTTCATCTGCCACGTGTCTGCCCATTCTACCAGTCTGTCTACTCCATTTGCAGTCTGCTACCATCCTCCTCACTGTTTACTACTTTTCCTAGCCTAGTATCATCTGCAAACTTGGAAATTGTACTCCTTTTTCCCAAGTCCAGGTCATTTATATGATCAAAAACAGCAGTTGTCCCAATACTAACCCCGGGGACACCACTGCACACTTTCCTCCAGTCAGAAAAACAACCATTCACCACAACCCTCTGCTTTCTGTCTCCCAGCCAGTTCTGTATCCATGCTGCCACTGTCCCTTTAATACTGTAGGCTTTTATTTTGCTTACAAGTCTCTTATGTGGAACTTTATCAAATGCCTTTCGAAAATCCATATAAACTACATCAACTGCACTACCTTCACCCAGCCCTTCTGTTACTTCATCAAAAAACTCTATCAGGTTTGTCAGCCATCATTTGCCTTTAACAAATCCGTGTTGGCTGTCCTTTATTAACCCATATTTTTCAAAGTGAAAATTTATTTTATCCCAGATTATAGTCTCTAGAAGTTTCTCCACTACTGACATGAGGCTGACTGGCCTGTAGATCCTGGGTTTATCCTTCTGCCCCTTTTTGTATAGGGGAGTAACATTTGCAACCCTCCAGTCCTCTGGCACCACCCCGGTGTCCAAGAGTGTTGAAAGATTGTGGCCAGAACCTCCACTATTTCCACCCTTATTTCCCTCAGTAACTTAGGATGCATCCCGTCCAGTCCGGTTGACTTATCTACCTTGAGGTTAGCTTCCTGTCTTGGGCATTTTATGGATATACACAGGTTTATTTTGTTCATTATTATTTATTATTCAGAACCAATCTCAGGCAGTCATTAGCTATTTTTAAAAGCCTTGGAGCGGGAGCAGCGTAGATTTACTAGGTTAGTACCAGGGATGAAGAGGTTGAGTTACAAGGATAGGCTGACCAATTTAGGTTTATATTCTCCAGAATATAGAAGAATTAGAGGGGATCTTATAGAAACCTATAAGATCATCAAAGGGCATATAGAATAGATAGTGGGAGATTGTGTCCCCCGGTTGGAGAAACTAAAACCAGGGGTCACAACCTTAAAATCAGAGGCCAGCCCTTTCGCACTGAGTTGAGGAAGAACTTCTTCACTCAAAGGGTGGTGAATGTATGGAACTCGCTACCTCAAAGGGCTATTGATGCTCAGTCCTTGAACATATTCAAGACTGAGATAGATATATTTCTTATTGCAAAAGGGATTAAGGGATATGGGGATAAGACAGGGTTAGGTTATTAGCTGGAGTTAGATTAGAAGATCAGCCATGATTGAATGGCGGGGCAGGCTTGAAGGGCTGAATGGACTACTCCTGTTCCTACATGTTATGTTAAATGTTACACTGAAATAGTCATTTGAAAATAAATACAGGTAATAAGAATTCTTGCATTTGATACAGCACCTTATCCCATCTTTGCAATGTCTCAAAGCACTTTGCAAGATTTACTGTATAGGTGATGGCAGCTTGTGTTATCTTATCCCTATGTTTGATCGGTTCGTATCTTGTTTTACAACAGATCTGTTGTTTGCACTCTTGCTTTCAGTCGTTTGCTCGGTTTTAGTGGCAAAGTCAAAAACATAACTGAATGATATTTAGACTTGATCTCAATTGCTTTTCTTTCCTGTTGCAAATTAACGTTTATACATCTCCCCAAAAGATAACAGCCACATGATCATATTCATAGCAAAGTATATCATAAAAATTTAGCAGTTTGATAAGGTTAGGATTATGAAAAAAATGTATGATATCTGCCTGACTTATCAATGCAATTAGAAAGAACTGTATATATCACTTGTGTTGTTCGGGCAAGCACACAGTCCTACATTTTCCACATTTTATTATTTTTAAACAATATGGACACCGTCTGTCTTCCTCTTTCCATTGGTGCAATACTGGAACATTTGTCTAGTCTTCCCCCCTCACACTGATTGCTTAACAAATACAAAAAAGAAAAGCAATTTTCCTTTATGTGCACAACTAAGAGGTGACAAACATAATTTAACTATCTGTGACCAAATTTCCATTATAAGCAGAAATAACAACCCATCATGCCAAGGACGTCTGAACATAAAGAGACTGAGTGGTTAGACATCTGATGCGATGGAGCAATGAGTAACAGCGTGTAAAGGTGACACAGTAGTACACTCAGAAATTGCGGATGTTGAAATTGCTTTCTATTAGTTGAAGAGCAATGTCATCTTGGAGCTGGAATCTCTAACATTTGTAAAGGATATGAAAGTTTTACTGTCCCAGCAGGTGTGCTTGTGTAGGACCCTTTCCTCAATGCATAAGAGGTTGAGAAACCATAGTTACTTATTGAATGCCGGTTTCACCCACAAAACATGCTATATACTTTACAATATATTCTGTGAAGCACTTTGAGATGTCTCAATGATGTGTTAAGGTGTTATATCAAATGCAAGAATTATTATTATTATTAACTTTATAACAAAAGTTTTCTGTTAAACTTGGTGTAAGACCCCAATGAATAACTGCCCCTCTGTTTCTATGATTGCTGCTTATTGAAGGAGAATGCGAAGCTAGGCAATCCAAATGTACCTTTTAAAACAATCTTAAACCCATGTTTTTTTTCAACATGATTAAAAATTGTGCAGTTTGCAGAAGAGGTACTCATGTGATCTGTTTACTGAAAACTACAGTAAACGTTTGCATTTGTTTTTTTTAATGTAAAGTTTACGAAGCTTGATCGGTTCCAGAAATGTCATATGTCAAGGCATTTCACAATTATAAATATAGGAACATGAGAACAGCAGTAGGCCATTTGGGCCCTCAAGCCTATTCTGCCATTCTATAAGATCATGGCTGATTTGTACCTCAACCCCAATTTCCTGCCCTTGCCCCATATCCCCTGATACCCTGACCTAACAAATATCTATCCATCTCAGTCTTGAAAATTTGAATGGATCCAACATCCACAGCCTTTTGGGGGAGAGAGTTCCAGATTTCCATTCTCCTTTGGGTGAGAAACTGCTTCCTAATTTTACTCCTTAATGGTTTAGCTCTAGTTTTAAGATGACGATTTTAAGATTGATTTTAATACAATACAATTTACATTTGTATAGTGCCTTTCATGTAATATTCAATTTATAGGTCTGAATACTGTTCCTCACAATTTCTGCAATAGGTTTGCTGTGTTTTATTGTATATGCACTGCATTGCAGGTTATTGGGCAATGTTAGTATGCATGTTATTCATTCATTACATGGATTCAGAATTGCATTTGTTACACAAGTTTTCTCTTCAATGATCAGCATTTTCTTCTAATTTCTTTTGAAAATCTATGTCCAATTTCACTTCAAATCATGTTATTTGAGGTGATCGCTAGCCAGATAAGTGAATAGAGTATTGGTAATTATGATCATTTGCAAGAAGCCACGAATTGTCAGGTTCCTCAGCCTTGTATGCACAATATAGCAGGGAATATTCCAGAACAGTAAAGTAGGGCAAATGGGGCTGGAGGAGAAGAAATGGGGTTGAAGAGAAGGAAGAGACGTAAACGAAACTGAAGCAAACCTTTGCAATTTACGAGTAGTTTGGGACATTGTATTGTCGATATGACATTGACGTGTTGCAGAGAGTTCAGTTATAAGTAACAAGGAAATAATTTGAGTAGTTAGAGCTGAAGTTTGTCTTATATATATTTTATATATATAAAAAAATGTGGAATGACACAGGATGTTGAGAGCAATGGATAACATACATTGTCATAGATTTGGAAAATAGCATAAATTCTACATTTAAAACTATCAAAAAGGGTCCAGAGATTAGAATTTCTCCTCCCCCAACAGAACACTAGAGCCTGAAATGTAATCTAGTTTTTGCCTGTGTTTTGTTTGAAAATTTAAAATTACACAAAATTGTAGAAAATTCTTAAATTGAGTTTTAATTTGGAAGCCAATCCTATGTAAGAACTGTGACAAACCGGCTTGCAAGCTTAAATTTTGAGACAAAGTAGTTTTCTGGGCTAAAATCCAGGTGAAATTTCGGGGGCTTTGATATAGAAGCACTTGACACTGTGTGGATGGACTGTACAGACTGAAATGAACAAATACCACACGGTCAGGCTAGTTGTATGAAATCTATCAATTCGTCTGCAACAATAATATTAATTAATAATCGTTGCATTTGGTATAGCGTCTTTCCCATTGGGAGGATTTCCCAAAGTACTTCATAGGATTTAGGGTAAAGTGGAGTGCCTATATTTGTAGGCAAATGCAACAGCCCAAATGTGCAGAGCGATGACCCACAGACAGCCATGAAGTGAATGACCAAGTTTGTTTTATTTGGGAGGATTGTTGGCCAGGACACCATGCCATGGCACCTTTAACATCCGCCTGAACAGGCAGAATTTGCGGATGTTGAAATTACTTTCTATTAGTGGAAGAGCAATGTCGTCTTGGAGCTTGTATCTCTAACATTTGCCTCAGTTTAATTGGCTGTCATGTTTCGCCCACAAAATATACAATCACTACACTTTACAGTATATTCTGTGAAGCGCTTTGAGAGGTCTCAATGACGTGATAAGGTGCTGTATCAAATGCAATTATTATTATCATCATCTGAAGAATGTCGCCTCTGACAATGCAGCACTCCCCCAGCACTCCACTGAAGTGTCAGCTTAGACTACATGAATTCAAGTCCCAAAGTCAATTTCGGTTTGTAGATATTATACTAAAATAATAACGTTAGTTTATTTATACATATCGAGATCATGAAGTTTAAAATAATGCTTAAGGATGGGGCATCATGAAACAGTCACATCACAATCGTGCTCAATGTCAGCTTTGTACAGAGAATGACTTTTAGGGTCTGCTGTTGTCCGCAAATCCATCATACGAACAATAATCGTGACAATCCTTGCATTTGATGCAGCGCCTTAACCCGTCGTTGTCGAGACGTCTCAAAGCGCTTCGCGCAATACATTGTAAAGCAGATTGCCCCGCGCATTTTGTGGGCGAAACGCGGCAAGCAGTCGAGGATTGAGGGAGTGACCTAAAATAAAAAAGAAAAAGAATGACAACATTTGCATTGCATTTGGGATGGGTGACGCCTTTGAGAGAGAAGGGAGAGGGTGGGGGGGGGGGGATGACGAGGGGGAGGAGGGGGGGGGGGTAATCTTACTACCAGAATTACCACCAGAAGTGGCGCTGCCTCTGTGCCCAGTGTTTGCAGAGCCACTGGGCATTGCTATAAATTCAGGCGTCGAGGAGAAACCGATTTCAAAGCACTTTATTCGCATCCCAGCAGCGACCACCTCTGCTCAGCGTCCTCCCCATCTTCCAAGGACCACTTGCGGTGAGTTTTATTCGGAGTCGTTTTTCCCACACCTTGTGCATTTAACACACTTTGTTTTTTTTTGGGGGGCAGGGGTGTGGAAACTTGAGAGGAAGCATTTTCTTTCTGCACACAGGTTTTGTTCATTGCCCTCTGTTGTGTGCGACAGGTACGTGCGGACGATGCTGGACAAAGCCACTTGGCTCGTGTTGTGCTGTCTCACAGCGCACACCTTGTGCTCACCTGTCCACCCGGCGTTCAGGTGGGTTCTCAGCAGTGACATTTCTTTGCATATCAGTGATTACAAACTCTTTATTGGATGGTTTCCGATCACCGCGACTTATTTTCTATGTGTTAAGATGCAAACGTGTTAACAACGTGCAACAGTCAAACACACAATAATAATAATAATAATAATAATAATAATAATAATAATAATGATAGTCAAACGCAGTAAATCAACAGGGTTTTGAGCAGATGTTTTGCAATGTCTGGAAAGGTCCAAAATGGGATTCAATCTCGTTTTAGAAATCTCCTGCCATCCTTTAAAAGAGAAGCAACTTGTTTTTTTTTTACCCCCCCAAAGTGATCGATCTTTAGAGAAAAGCTATTTGATTGTGGCATTTTTTTTTTTTTTTGCAAACGTGTTTGAAAGAATAATTATTTTACCTGTTCTTGGTCACACACAGAGAGAGAGAGAGAGAGGGGGGGAAGTGTTTCCAATGCGACTTAATATTGCAACGTAACAACGCGACACGAATCATAATCATTGCCATTCATTATGACTTAATACGAATATAAGTAAAAAAGAAAAAAGTTTTTTGAGTTTAAAGGAAAACTAAATTGAGAAGCAATTTTGAACTGATCCAATCCATTGCATTAAATTGCAGAATTGAATTGAATTCAATAAATTGCGGAATGTCCTCTGTGAAACCTTCCAAGTGTGGGTTCTTGTGGATTTATTTATATACTAAATGTGTGTCTGTGTGTGTGTGTGCAAAAAAATCTAAAACCAAACCTGCTCTGCTCTCCTGCTGTGTCTGGGTGGTTGCAGATTGGAAAATAAATCGATCCCAGGAAGAGGGTCCCCTGTGTTGGCTGAGGAGAGCGGCTCAGTGGGGCTGAGGGCTGACTGTCAGGAGATCGCGTCTGCACTCGATTCCACTCCCAAACGGTGCGTTCAGACACTCAGTGCAACATCTGCATCGTTCTGTGTCACTGATCGCTCACAGTCTCTTACTTACTCCAGACTTGCAATGTATATACACACACACACACACACACATGCACACACACACTCACACACACACACACTCACACACACTCACAAACACACACACTCACACACACACACACTTACACACACTCACAAACACACACACTCACACACACACACACTTACACAGGGTGACCAAAGAGTCCTGATACCATTACAATGTCTAATAAGTCTTAAAAGAAATGATGATAAATTGTTTGGGATAATAGGGTAGTGATCATGAGGTTTTGGTTACCCTGAATATAAATATACACATATATACCTGTACACACACACATATATATACATACATATTATTGTGTGTGTATATAATTGTACATATATACACTTGCAATATATATATACATACATATATATATAAACATTTCGTTTTCTCTTGGTAGGTCCATCCTTGATTGCAGACTCAGCTTCCATTCACACAGTCTAATATTCTCTTAAACATCCAAATTTAATCATCACAGAAAGCCAAGTCTATCCATGCAATTTCGGGTTTATTTTCTACCAGAATCGTTTATCATCATTTCAATTAAGTTTCTGTTCGACTCGATTCGGTTCCCCTATTGGAACTGGTTTGGGACGAATGTTTTCAGATACAGAGAGATTTTTTTAATTACATTTCGCCACTATGATCAGCTCACACAGACGCGTTGTATTTGGAGAGAGAGAAAAACATACAACATGAGGTTTTGCAGCCGAGACTGTGGTCTTTCTGACACTGTAACATTGTGACTTTCCACGACTGTGAATGAGTGAGTGAGTGAGAGAGAGAGAGAGAGAGAGAGAATGAGTGAGTAGGAGTGAGTGTGAGTGAGTGAGTGAGTGAGAGAGTGAGTAAGTGAGAGAATGAGTGAGTGTGAGTGAGTAAGTGAGTGAGAGTGAGTACGTGAGAGTGAGTGAGTGATAGTAAGTGAGTGAGAGTAAGTGAGAGAATGAGTGAGAGTAAGTGAGAGTGAGTAAGTGAGAGAATGAGTGAGTGAGAGTGAGTACGTGAGAGTAAGTGAGTGAGTGAGTGAGTGAGTGAGTGAGTGAGTGAGTGAGTGAGAGTGCAATCATTTCGATGTGATTTGCAATTGCTATTTTGCGTTCGTTTCCACGTTTAGAACCGAAAGACATGCGGATGCAATCTTCACTAACTCCTACAGGAAGGTCCTGGGCCAGATCTCTGCCAGAAAGTTTCTCCAGTCTATTATGGGGAAACGACTGGGGTAGGTCAGAATTCTCGCCTCTCATTTACCCCCTCGACCTTTTTGATATTTTTCTCTCACTAAAACGCCACATCGATGTGTGTGTGTGTGTGTGTCTGTGTGTGTGTGTGTGGAGGGGGGGGAGAGAGAGGTGTCACTCTGTGTGTGTGTGTGGGGGGGGGGAGAGAGAGGTGTCACTCTGTGTGTGTGTGGGGAGGGGGGAGGTGTCACTCTGTGTGTGGGGGGGGGGGGGGGGGGGGGGAGAGAGAGGTGTCACTCTGTGTGTGTGTGTGGGGGGGGGGGGAGGTATCACTTCTGTGTGTGTGGGGGGGGGGAGGTATCACTTCTGTGTGTGTGGGGGGGGGGGGGAGAGGTGTCACTCTGTGTGTGTGTGTGTGGAGGGGAGGTGTCACTCTGTGTGTGTGTGTGGGGGGGGGAGTGTCACTCTGTGTGTGTGTGTGTGTGTGGGGAGGTGTCACTCTGTGTGAGTGTGGGGTGGGGGGGAAGTGTCACTCTGTGTGTGTGTGTGTGTGTGCGCCAGGATGGTGGAATGAACTGGATGGAAGTGGTATTTTTTTGTCTAACATTTCTTACGTTATGTCCCATTGCCTGGCCAAGCACAATTTTGTATTTAGGTGACTGGTTGATTGATGCTACTATGTGCTATTATGTGGAATAATTTGTAGAGCTCAATGTGGAATAATTTGTAGAGCTCAAGACCTTTTCTAAGCCCTCACCAGTAACCCGTGGTGCCCTTCTAATGGATAGAGATGAATAATGCGGCTGAATGATACACTCATTTGTGCTCGATTACTGAGCGCTTGTGGTACATGTATATTAATGATTGTTAACGGGACAGAAAGAGTAATTGATAAAAGTGGGGACAATTAAAGTTTGAGCATTGCTTCACTTAGGCGTTGATCTGGGTCACATTAAGTGGGACAGTGCTGGGCAGAAGCTGTAGCAGTTCTGAGTGAAGAGAAGGGGAACTCAAGAGTTGATGACACTCAACTGAATTCCCTCAGAAACATCGCTTTTGATCCCGAGAATAGTGCCGAAACATGACTGAAAATATTGGATCAGGAAGTAAATGGGTTTGCTGACTGGATCGGGTCCAAATCCTTGACCGTCCAGCGCCTTGGGACATCCTCCCGATGTGAAAGGCGCTATACCAATGTAATTCTGTATTGTATTGTACAGTAGGGCTCCCGATTTGTATCCCCAACACGGTGGTAATGGAGAGCTCTGCCACTGATCTCAGTGTCCTGCACGAGGGAAGAGGTTACAGAATCATCCATGGTTATCTGGTTGCATGGACAGTTTTATGATCGCTTCTCTTATATTTCTCCATCCGTGCAATTTACACACTCTTCCTTAACTATGGTTTTAAGATTTTTGCTGTAGAGGATTACATTTTTCAATAAGTTCTCTGGGTACTTCCATTCACTGTCAACAGCAACAACTTGTATTTATACAATGCCCCTCACACAGGGTAGCGTCCCAGAGTGCTTGGCAGAGGCAGAGCACGGCATCGAGCTGGGGCTAGTGGGGAGGTGACTGTAGGCGCAAGCTCTAAGAGGATTAATAATCCTCGTTACTGTTTGCCTTTTCTTAAAAAAGATTTGAGAGTTAACAATGTAACAAGTCATAAGAGAATTTCGTGCAACGGTTCTCCTCTGTGCTGTGCGAAAATGTTAAAAGATACATAATTTTGCCCTTACACAGTGATGAGGAAGACCTTGAACTAGCCAAGAGGAACGCTGATGGTCTTCTCACAGATATCTACACTCAATATCTACACCAGCAGCAGATGGTGATTAGGAAATACTTGGCAGCAGTTCTGGGCAGCAAAAGGTATAATAAATAGCTTAATGAATAAATATTGATCAGCATTCCATACACACTCCTCTCATTTCGATATTCAATGATTATTGATTTTCGTAATAAAACAGGTAAACACTTTAAAAAAAAGTACCTTACAATATAAAATGGATAACAGGCTAGATTTTAAAAGTCTAACTTTTCAGCTCGCTGATTAATGTTTGCATTTGCGTTGCTTAGCTTTGAAGATGTAAACCGAGAGCAGCTGCCTGAGGATATTGCTGCGGTCCTGGAGAAAGATTATGGTACCAAACCCATATATGGTGAGTTCATGTGCAATATTTGTTCCAATTTAATGCTCTCCATCATTTTCTCCAGTAACTCTGCTGAATGCACTGATTTATGCTGTTACTGCTCTGCAATTACAGATAGTATCTGCCCAATAAATACCTGTCACGTGGCCACAACAACAACTTGCATTTATACAGCGTCCTTCACATGGGGTACGGTCCCGGAGTGCTTCACAGTGGTGGAGTTTGACCCCGAGCCTGGGGGAGAGAGATGGGGGAGGTGACCGTAGGCGTGATCAAAAAGGAAGGTCTTTAAGTGGGATTTGAAAGTCGGGAGGGAGGGAAGGAAGGGGCAAGGTGGAGGGGTTGAGATGGAGAGTTCCAGAGCTTCGGGGCATAGTGTCTGAAAGCACGGCCACCGATGCTGGAGCGGAGGGGATTCTTCATGGCCTAGACAGTTGTTGTTAGATATTTAGTTGTTGCGGTATCAGAGCCACACCCAACCTGTTTCCAAAACTCACTGAGAAAGGCCAGACCTGAATAGTGGTCGCGAATGTAAACTCAGGCTTTCTCCGCCCTCTTTCAAAAATTGGCTGGAAAAGCTAACTGAAGCACTTGTCTGGTGTCTGAGTGGCTGCATTTTTTTTAAATAGCGCCTTATCACATCTTTGAGACGTCTTACAGCGCTTCACAGAATATATAGTGAATGTATATTTTGTGGCCAAAACCTGGCAGCCAATTGCACACAGCAGCGTCCACAAACAGTCGTGGATTGGGTGACCAAATTTTTAAAATTTATTTTGAAGGTATTATTGCCCCTGGAAAATTGATCCGCCAATTGACTAACAACCAGGATTCTACTTACTGCTAGGTAAACATGTGTGTGCAGTAAGGAAACTTGCTCTGCCGGGAATCAAACCCAGGTCCTCGCGCAAACCTGGGGCCTTTATGGCATGTGTGGCTCAGTGGCAGCTTCATACGACACATTTATCCACTCTGCCATCAGAGAAACATTTACACTCAATTTCTGGCCCTTATTATTTTATCAATCTTTCCTTACTGAAATGTAACTAACTTAATTATGTTTTATCTCCAGGTAACTGACAGAAGAATCATCAGATTCTCCACCCTGATGGTTAAAAGTTCCCCTTCAGAGAAAATATACGTCATTAAATTATTTTTAGACAGTACTACACACTAAAATTTATCAATAGTTAATAGGAAACATTATTTTGGTAAAGAAATTTGTATTTGTCCTGTTAAAGTTAGATCTGCATGAGTGGTAAAATCATGGATTTTTCTTTCATTCTCTTTTCTTCTTAATGTAAATTTGCCATCTTTGCATCTGTGAAGAATGATACATAAGTGATTACTGCTATTGCTGTTTGTCCTTCATTGAAATTCTTGTGTCATGCCAAATTTTTGCAGTTGAATTTTTGGTCAAACTGATGTGTTCTCAGGGTATGGGACTGGGCGCACAATCCAAAGCAAGTCTCCCTATTATTTTGCATTAAAACAGACGTTACCATTCCAAAAAACGATTGTAATATATATAGATAACATATACCAAACAAATTTTGCCTAGTAGGGTCAGTACTGAATCTTACTTACCGAGGTGTCTTCCATGATAATTTTGGATGACCATGACTTCTTGACAATGAAAAACTTATTTATGTAGCGTCCTTGATGCAGGGTAGCGTCCCAGAGAAAAAGTCACCATAACAGAAATCTTACTATACGACCCAAAATCCAACAATTGGAATAATGGAATGCTTCTGGTATTAACATCCTAACTCTTACAGACAGGATTAAAAAAAGATGCAATTGTACCCAGGGGTTAACTCGTTCTAATTTACATTGCACAAAGGGGCAAATACTGGTAATAGATTGCACTTGCAATTATTTGCAATCTGTGCTTACAAAGTAGCTTGGAATTTACAAACTGTCTGAAGGAGAATCAGTATGGTTACATGTTCCAATAATTCTCTGAAATGAAAACTATTGTTCTGTCATTGTACAGTATTTATTGCACATCTCAAATCATCAACCCACTTACTATGTGACTCGTACAGTGCACAATTATTTTCTGAATACATTTTCTGAACAGCGCACTGTTCCAGTTTGTACTTTTTGTTTTCTGGTCTGCATCTATTATCAATACAAGACGATTGCTCTCCCTCAAATAGCTATCACAGCTAACAAAGACCTTACTCAAAGCTCTCATCAATGAAGCCTAAACCACTGCTCATGTGAGTCATACAACAAATTTGTAAAGCACCTTTCACCTCAGGAGGATGTCCCAACACGCTGGGAATATGAGGGGAAGTGGGGGGGGCGGGTAGGGAAAAGGTAAGCTCCAAACTCCCATATCAGGACAAACCAAAGGATGTCTCACAGTGAATGACATTATTTTGTTAATTTGATAATTCTTCTTCATAGCATTGTCTGAAAACATTCTGGATTTTCTATTTAAAGAGTGGTTCGAAATGATTTACAACAAAGTACTTCTTCACACAACTTTCTATTTTCTTAAAAGTGACTTTTAACCAGCACACTTAACCAAATATAGTGGATAATCATTTGCAGCTCAATGAAGTTCTCTAGAGGGCTTCTGAATTTGAACACTCATTGAATACACAGAATCAGCATTAATAACAGGTGAACAGCCAATATTTTAGCAGTGCAGATCATCAACTAATCTAAACATTGTTGCACGTCCAATTCCGCTTCATTAAGGCCGTCTCTGAAGCTGAGTATACAACTCTCTTTCCTCCCTCCCCCATTTTGTCTGCTAACATATTGCTGTTATCTTAAAAGGTGAAGAATAATGTAAATCATAATGTCCTACTGAGTACAATAAAATTTTGACCATTTTATTCACAAGAGGAAAGCATTTGTGCCTGTGGCAATTGCAATTATTCTGTTCTCTTCCCTTGTGAAATTGCCCCTAGATTTCGGTTGATAAGAATTGGCTATGCTGAGTGAACATACCTTCAGAGCAGCAGGAGGAAAAATGTTTGAACAAAACAGATCAGATATGTTTTACAGAATTAAGCATTACTGTGTAAGGGTATTAAACAGATTGGAACAGGTCTACTTACTAATATAATTAATGAAAGCAACATAAAATAAAATAAATACTAAAGCAAGACTTGATTTTATAACTTTATGTGCAACTGAATTTAAAAATTTAGCAACTAAAGCTCCTGGCAATTTTCAATATTTTTTTTACCAAGATAAGATTAATATAAAATTCTTCCTCCCCTCTTCAAAGCGAATACAGATTAAACTGGTTGACTTACAAAGCCAACACTTCAATTAATACAGTACAAGGTTAAAAACTATACTTATTCCAGAGGGACCTTTCAAAAGTCATATTTTTTTTTAATGCAGGCGGTGGCAAATGATGTTCCCCTGAGAATGATGCTGGAGTTTCAGCTTTTTATTATAACATGAATGTGGGACTTTACTGTGCTCAAATTGGCTGCCGCGTTTGCGCACAAAACTCAAGTTACACCATTTTACAGAATATCCTGTGAAGCACTTTGAGATGCCTCGCCAATTTAATAAGGCGTTATACATTAGAATATATTATACAGCACATAAACAGGCCATTCGGCCCAACTGGTCTGTGCCGGTGTTTATGCTCCATATGAGCCTCCTCCTTCCCTTCCTCAACTAAGCCTTTGAGCATAACCTTCTATTCCTTTCTCCCTCATGTACCTATTCTAGCTTTCCTTTAAATACATCTATGCTATTTGCCTCAACAACTCCGTGTGGTAGCATGTTCCACATTCCCGCTACTCTCTGTTGTATCAAATGCAACGATTATCATAAATGACCTGGATGTGGGAATATTTCCAAGTTAGTGGATAAACCAAGCAGGTATCGTAAGCGGTGAATAGAGCAGAAAATCGTGATTGTGTTGGAACACAGCAAACTGCAAGATGGAACATGGAAATTTAAGGGGAAAAAAGACTAATACTGCACCTATCTAACAATACCGTACAGTTCAATCAACATGGTGCAGAACAAGATAAAGGAAACATTTCAGAAGAATGCATATTGGAGAAACAAAAACAATGGACATATCCAAGATTTAATTTTCCACTTTATTTCAGAAAACAAATGATATTACAAAACATGTACCATCATGGAGAACCCAAGGGAAGCCAGCACTCCTTTATAGGGAGTGCTGCCAATTACTGGCAACTTACAAGGTCAGAAGTTGGTGACTGGCTCACATGGACCAAATGTCAGTGCAATTTTTTTAAAAAAAAGTGGTTGCCACTCACAAAAACAAATTACAATCAACTTTCAAAATTTGGTGTCTTCTCAGTCTTAAAAATATTTCCGTCATCTTCAGATTTCTCCCTCCATGGATCTCTATCAATTCTTTGTTCTAGAAACAAAAAAGAATATTGAACAAAAATCCTTACATTTACTACAGCTTGTTTGAACTTACTTTGGCTCTCAATGAAATTATAACACAGGATTTTGACCCATTCCCTGAACTACCTTATAAAAGGATGATATAATTTTGTGTATTTTTTTCCATACTCAGTTTATGTACATTTATATATTAAACATACATCTCTCCATTACAACATTTTAATCTTGTAGAAGAGTCAAAAGAGTCAATAAACAATTCACTCAATTTTAAGGAGTTACTGGTACAATGGGCAGGCGAATCAGCCACATTTTAGAATGAACCACAGTATGGACTTTTTCCTTTTAATTAGTCAAACCAGATGTAGTAAAATTTCACAACTACAGTATGGTCACTGTCAAAAGTGACAACTGTTCACTTTTTCCAAAATAAGTAACAACAGGCCCCCAGCACCTTGAAAGGAACAATTTGCACAAATGTTTACTGCCATTTTATTTAGTGGAGGTTTTAATCAAATTGCTCACGCCAGAAACTACAAACACATTTGACTGATGTAAGAAAATAGGAGGTTTGTGCAATTTTTTAAAATATTATTGACAAGCAAAGAGTCAAATTGTAATGAAAACCTCTGAATAAAGGACCCACTCTAAGAAATGTATTTCAGCCAACATGTCTTTACAGTCAAGGTTCAGTTACAAAGAACTGCCACTAGGTGAGATATTGGATGGCAACTAGGTACCTGTGGAATCATACCAAAGCAAGAAGTCACCACCTCTAGGAGAGAGGAAGAATGAAAGAAATTGTGGAGAAAATAATTGTCAAAAGATGTCAGATTCAATAAACAGTTATACTCAAATTGCAATAGATCTTTCCACCAAAAAATGTTGACAAAATGCAGTTCCAAATGATTAGAAGATCCACTGTAAAGATGCAAAAATAACGCTAATATAATTATCAGCAATTACACATAGATAGAGAGATTTCAAATAATGTACACGTATGTAACTGATTGTGAAGTTGAAACATGAAAATGTAGCATGCAAAACAACATACAGCTGAAAACTCTTGAAGAACATGGTCACAGAACCAAATTTAAAGATTTGTACAGATCGAGAAGGCGGATAAAGGGCAGAAGACTTAGTATATGTGGGTATTGATTCTTTTAAGATTTGAATCATTTGAACAATACTATAATTTCAAGCCATTCGTGGAATACAAATAAGAATTGTTCTAAGAACACCTTTTCAAGATTATTTGAAATTTCTCCAATCAGACCCCACTTTCTCACTTTCATTCCTTTCCAGATTTGCTCACTGGATACCAGTCACTCTTAGAAATCTACAACTTCTTTGGTTCTTTTAGGTTTATAATAAATCTTCAAATCTTAGAATATTATTCAGTAGACCGTGTTCTTTAATGTCAAACAAATATTTTTCATGTGAATCTTTAAATATAATTCTATAAATTCTATATTGGTATTCACAATATATTGCAACATATTTTGCTTCCAAATTATTTCTAGATCCTTATGTAATTGTTAAGAACTTGGCTCAAGTGATATTAAAAGAGGTAACCGTTATCCCAACAGTACAAATAATTAACAATAAATATGTAAAGATAATCCACTTTTATCACTGAATTCAGTAACACACATTTCACCATGGACAGTGGAATGGGGAATGTTTAATGGTTCACATGCATGTCAGCTCAACTAATGTTCCACAGTACACATGTGTGTACAGCCAATGCACTTGAAACCCTTACTTGGGTTAACTTCTTGATTAGAAACCCCTCTACCGAAGAGTCCTATACTTTGCCAACCTACTGCTTTGTTCTGCTGCAATCCTAGCAAAAGAGAGGAATATAGATTTAGCAAGAAAGAAGTCTTAAAGACAGAGAAATACGACTAGAAGAAATAAAGCATTACAATATAAAGAATTCTAAAGTGTAAATTGAAACTTCACTATGCTACACTCTAACACCAAAATGTGGTTGCCTATTCCTAAAGGTTTATATCAATGTTTGGAGGCTTGACAATCACTCATATGAAAAGGTTTGTGTTTTTTCATTACAAGATGGTTTTTGTGTGTTCAACTGTAAAACAAGGGAAGACAGTGTCAGACGCCTAGAGAAGTGTAGAACTAATTCCGTAGATCATATTTGCTTCAGCAAATGTTTATTATTTCAGAGCCAATTTGATGGTAAGAAAAATAAAACTATTAACTGCACTTCCAGTAAAGCCACTTCAAGCTGTCAATGCACCAATTTTGGAAATTATTGTCATTTGTAGTTACTCGGAATTCTCTTCCCAATATGTCAAGCAAAATGTAGTTTAATAAAATTACATCATGTAGCTTACTGAAGAGTGGTCCACGAGGGAAAGATTAACAACCCTGTAGGGTCATTATTCTTCAAATGAGGCTATCTGCCACATAAGGCTAGATAAAGGTACTACCATAAACCGGAGGAAAAGATAACAAGGAGGATATCGCTTAACAGTATATAGGCCCGTGATGCATCTACAGCAGTATTTAAAAACAGTGGCAGAACTGAAATCCTCAAGTCAGCACTTGATGCATAACTTTGGAAGATATATGGTTTGCTTTTGATTGACACAGAATTGTGACCCACATACATAATGGCTAGAAAGAAAAAGAAAACATTAGCCCTGAATATACAGTGAGAGCTTTAGTTTGCTGATCCTGAAAAAAAACGCAATGAAATGTCCCGGGCAATGTGCTGCATTTACAGCACGGAGGGTGGGAGACTGCAGCAAAGAACTTAACGGCTTTGAAATCCGTGCCCTAATTTTTGAACTTGGATAGTATCTTAACACAGTGCTATGGGAAGGATGCCTGAAACAAAGAATGATAAATTCGCAAAGCCTAATGGTCGAATAGCAAGCATTATATGTATTGGTATATATAATATATATATATGTGTGTGTATATATATAATATATATCAGCTTTTCAATGTGCCACAAAATAATTTTGAACAGATAAAACAAAATTTCCTAACTTTCATACTAAGAACACAACACCTTAAAATGTTTTGTCTTCATTTAGGCGATACAAAATGATTATCAATCATCATGACAAATCTGTCACTTGCGTCTCTCTCTCTCGCCCTATTCTAGAACACTGCACCTTGGATGTCTTTTAAACTATATCCCACTTGGCTCATCAGAAGTTCCTATGAGACATCATAGTTAATTTACTCCTAAATATATTACCTTCCTTTATATTGCTAAAATTATACAATCAATCAGCAATCCTCTGTGGACAATGCAACCTGTAGCAGCAACAGGTATTGCTTTGATTTATTGCTTACTTATAAAGATCAAATGGTTGATGCCCTTCTGATGATTTAAAACAGTAAAACTATGATGGTACACTAAAACTCACTATAAGTCTGATCTGTAAATCGTATAATCGTCTAAGTCATACATCTGCCCAAGTCTCTTTCAAGAGTTTATATTCTATGTAAATTTGACATAACTAGTACTTTGCATAAGTCATATTAAATGTAAGGTCCCAAATGATCTGACTTATGAGGTTTACTGCACCACTAAAATGGTAAATACCATTTGAAAAAAGTTCATCAACTATAGTTAAAATTGGAGTTTATGATTTACACTCTCATGAAGGACACTTGCTGGGCACTTGACAACACTACAGTAAGACATAATTGAAACAGATGGTTTCAAAGGCATATTAATATATCAGCCATAAAATTAAATGGGTAGTATAGTGAAATCTGACTGGTTAAATTAAAATACAGCTAAAGCATCCGAGTCTCCAGATGTACGCATCAGTGTAATGTATTACATATATAAATACTACTGTACACCAAGTCATCTATTTCTGACTCACTTATCACAGTTGGATATGTGAGCTCACATTGTGCTCAGTGCCACACATCCATCATTTTACAGGGGCGAGGAGGGGGGAAGAGATAAAAGTAGCACCAGAATTTTAAAAAGGTTCAAGACTATTTATTTTAAAAATGAATTTGGTATTCCTCCACCCTCAGTTCTACAATACATCGGTGAAATAAGTGTTATTAAATTGTCCAGCATCAAAAATCCTGTCTTACAACAGACTTTTGTCTGTATCTTATACATGTCTTTTAAAAAAAGGTGTAATTTATTTTCTACCCACTTTCATGCAATTTGCCTTTAGTGGGCCAGTCTGGCCAACAATCTCCATAAAGAACCATTTGCAAACAGTTTCTGCATCACATGTCAGAAGTACTTTCCAGGGCAGGTTTCTTCGAGACAACTTATTCTCCTACAAGAATTGGCATATAGTGTTACCCATTGCTCTCGACAGATCCTGGAAAGGAGGCGCTGATTCCCAAAATGGAAGTCCCATGCTGCAGATTGTACTACGTTGGGGCAAACAATTGAAGGCTTTTTCTTTGGCATTCCCCCACCCCCCTCATTAAAATGCTATTCATTCACATGCGAGACCACAACTTTCCTTTTTGTACATACAATGTGTTTGTCAAACAATTCCAGATCAAACATTTCAGTCAGGTACTGAGTCTGCCCCAGTATAAAAGATGCCACCTGTGCCAGTGTGATGGCAAATAAATACATAAATATAAATGACAAATGTTTATTAAAGCCATGCAATTAAAACCTTCAGGATATTGGTATTATATTTTGTATTTGGTAATAAATAAAGCATCTGCAAATACAAGGATCAAGTACAATTACTTTTTTTAATCATAAATTTGATTTCAGTAAATGTAAACAAATCCTATGTAATCTGAAAAAAATATCTGCTTACTGTGTAGAGAACTGCAGTGATTGACAGCACAATAATAAGCAGATAATCATGCAGATATCTACAATTAAACAATTATGCTGGGCAATACGAGTTGTTCGCTGGAGGAATTCACGGCAGTGGGTAATTGTTTTGCAGAAGTTGACATTCTTAGCCTCTATACAATATTCAGCTTGTTGTGTAACAGCAGTAAAAATAATATGCAAGAATAAAAATGCATTGAGAATAAACAAAGACTATTTGTTAGTCTTGAGTTTCTTACCTCTTTACTGCTTTCTGAGCTAACATTCGGTTTCCAGCAAAGAATGTGATGCCACCTAGTACAGCAAGATATTTCAGGGTCTGAAACATGTTCAGATGAGTCCAGTACACATACATAAGTCCCAGCATAGCTGAAAGAGGAAAACAGAGGAGACATTTGTGAGCTACTAAATAATCCATACATTTTCTTATGTGAATCTTACAACTATAATTTACTATGCAGATTCAGTGGAAATGTAGACACTGAATGGATCTTGGCACTGTAACACACCAACCTCCAGCTATGCTTGCCCTGTGAGAACAATGCTAAAGCACTTGGACATCAGGTCACTTGAATTCATTTCTGTTAAGGAGTGCAGTTCACGTGACAACACCGCCATGATTTGTCACAATATTTTGAGTATTTCTGAAGTCGTTCAGTTTCTTCGATATTCATCACTCACCAGCATGTCCCAAGTGGAAGATAAGGGTACTTGGAGTAAAGGTGAAATTGGAGATGTTGACTCCCAGTTTGGCCCACTGCAAAACAAAAAAAATATTCTGGTTAAAACCAGATTGTAAACAAGCATACTGCAGTTACATAACTTTTATAATTTAAACAACAAGTTATGAAACAAACACTGTTAATAGCACTTTAACCAACAGACCAAACCATACCATTCCTTTCAACTAAATTAAGTACAGTCGCACAAGACAATATAGATCATGACAAGCTGTTTCAACTTATCTAGAAGAGTAAAATCAGAGGACCTGGCCTATGATTGAACCGGGTAAATTCAGGACGAATCTACGCAAACACTATTTTAGTGAACGAATAGCGAACCTGTGGAACAGGCTCCCTAAGGAGACCGTTGAAGCAGGAAGTGTTGATTCTTTCAAACACAGGTTAGATAAGCAGGGAGTTTGCATAGTCAAGCCTGGATGTTATGAATGCGTGTATGAGGGCTTTGGCGACCTGTAGTGTGAGACAATGGCAGAGCTGGCCGATGTTGCGAAAGTGGGGGAAATCAGAATAGGTCATGGCACGGATGTGGTATAGAAAGGATAGTAGAGGATCAAACAAGAACCCAAGATTCTGGACTGGCTCAGTGAGATGGAGTGTGCATCCTTGGATGGTGATACTGTCAGCGCCTGAGGTGTGGAGGCGCTGTCGGGAGCCAATCAGGAGGGCCTCGGTCTTGTTGATGTTCAACTGAAGAAAGTTAGCTCTCATCCAGGACTTGATGGCTGACACTCTTTCTGGCAGGACAGCAGTGGTCCTGGAGTCGAGGGTGGAGGCAGAAAGATGTGTGTTACTCGCATACATGTGGAAGTTGACTCCGTGTCTGTGGATGATGTTACCAAGAGGGAGCATATAGATATTGACGAGGAGGGGACCAAGGACAGAGTCCTGAGGAATGCCACACGTGACGGTGCAGGGGCTAGAGGAGAAACCGTTTGTGGAGATGAAGTGGAGACGGTGTGAGAGGTAGGATTGGAACCATTCATGGACAGAACCATGAAGGTTGAGGTGAGAGGAGGCACGGAAGGAGGAAAGAGTGGTCAGCGGTATCGAAGGCAGCGGAGAGGTCAAGGAGGACGAGGAGGCAGAGTGAGCCCTGATCGCAGATGGACAAAATGTCATTTGTCACTTTGACCAAGGCTGCTGAAAGCTGTGAGCTTTGTGGGGTTTGGTTTAGTCATCAAACTGGGTTCAGTAATTATCATTTCTGTGCAGCTAAGTAAATAATGAGCACAATTACTAACTGTCAGGGATTGCAATTTAGTAGCATTAGTAACACAGTGCTGCCTCCTGGGTTTCTGAAGAGATCTGGATCTATGATCCTAGAGATACAAAATTAGTCCTTTTATTAATTATCTCTGGTGCTTCATTATCACTCTATTCTTTTCAGGGCCCTTCACACATACCATGTCAGAGAACCAGCCATCATCTCTACTTTTGAGATTAGCATTATTAAAAGGCAAAAATACAACTGACATAAATGTCACCCACAGTTTAATGTCACTTAATTAACAATGCACTGTTAGGATAGCTTGAAGTAGTTTTGCGCCAAGCTTTTGAGCAACCCATTACAAAGCTGTGGAGAGTCAATCGAACTAAGTTATAGATATGTTAAATCATTGTGTCCAATTGTGGCAAAGGTTAACATGTGAATTGGGCTAAACCCAGTGAAGAACAATCACACAGCGATTCAGCATCATGGACTAACAAAACTAAAATGAAGTGTTACTTTACAGCCAGAAAGTTGCTGAACATGAATTGTTTCAGAATGCAGAGAGAATCGTAACTTCTAAAAGCATACTTCAATACCCCTCTGTCCCAGAGAATCAAAATTCCAGACAATCCTTGAAGCACAATTTTAGATTCTGATAAAACTATTACTTACCAGAATTAAGAGCAGTAACAAGGGTGCTATAACGAGAGCAGTAAATGCGTTGGACACTACAGTAGGTGGTCTTTTTTCAGGCTCCCTGAAGAGATGCTGCAAAAGAGCAATATTTAAAAGTCAAGCAAATTATGTGCCATGAATGAAATAGATGCTCTGATGTATTACCTAGTAGAATAATAAGGTGAGTTAAACCCACATTTACTTCTTAAGGTCAGCATAGCTGTAAATAAGGAACCTTGAACTGCAGTGCCTTTCAATTTCCAGAAACATGAATACAATACAATAAACTGATTAACAGTACATTAATAGGATTGATAGATTTCTGCAATAATATAATAGTAGTGACCTGCAAACATAGGGAAAGTACAATTTTCAATGTCATATACTCAGGAGAACAAGTGCCTGATTCTGTGAGAAGGTGCTCATCAAAATGGATCTAGAGGTTGCTCAATAGTTTTTGACTTGTGAAATGATCATTGGAATTGTTCATACTATAATTGGCTCCAGTGCAAACAGTGAACTACAATTCACACTGAACCAAACTTCTCCTCTGAAATGTAGTTTTGAGAACCATATGGAATTGCTTCCAGTGATGGCGCACAACTGTTTTGTAGCCACAGGATTAACCGAGATATACATGAAGCTGCGGGATACAATTCATATCCAACTGCTCAGCACCATGAGTGGAATACAGCACTCCACCCCATGGCACCTTTGCTAATATATTTTAGGTAAGCAATCAACAATATTGATAAAAAAAACTAGATACAAATTAATTGTAGAAAAGGGACTAAATTTATGTATAGATCTCAGACTGGTTTCAGTGTGCAAGTCCCCCCCACGCACACAGTGCTGTCTATTTCCAGTTGTATCTATTCCCAGTTGGAGTCCTGTAGCTCAGTGGTTAAGAGCACACACCTCGCAAGCGAGAATCCTGGGTTCGATTCCCAGCAGGGCGAAACCTTGTGCAAGATTTCTTATTCCAACCGCCAGATAATAATTCCTCAAGAAAACCCCCCAACAATAACTTGGTCACTTCAGTCCACAACTGCTTGTGGGACACTGCTGTGTGCAATTGGTTGCTGAGTTTTGCTCACAAACACAGTCAATTCACTTTACAGTATATTCTGTGAAGTGCTTTGAGACGTCTAGAAGACATGAAAAGCGCTATATCAAATGCAAGGATTATTATTTATTATTATTGTGACCTCACTTCAATACAACGCAAGATAATTCACAGCAGTGATATTACAAGGCATGAGTCATTTTATTCTTCTAATTCACAAAGAATTTAACTGTATATACAATACAAATTACACTTGGAAAGCGCCTTTCACGTCGGTAGTCCCAAGGCGCTGGGATGTCCTGTAAGCTGAACAAGGTAGAGAACATCTTGCAGCGATTTGTGCATTGTACAACTCCATGCTATTCACTCCTGCATTTCGCCCATCAAACACAGTTAATTCACTTTACAGTATATTCTGTGAAGCGCTCTGAGATGTCTAGAAGATGTGAAAAGGCGCTATGTCAAATGGAAGGATTATTTTTATTCTACAGCAATTGATATAATTTAACATTATCCAGGATAAATGCTATTTACTACATGTACCCTATATTCTGGTATGACTGAGATGCAGCTATCAACAGAAACTATTGATTTAAGGTAGTTGAAGGTCCTATATACAGGCACTAACCTGAATTTCTGGTTTGGGAGCATAGGGATTGAGAAGCTGTACTGGAGTTGGAGCATCTTCATCAGGAAACCTAATTGTAATATCAGCCTGGAAAGAAATACAACAAAATTGCATTTTATTTTAAGAAGCTGAAAATCATGTTATATATAATAATCAGATTTATTATAGGAAGTTCGAAACAGTGGATTTAAAAAAACTTCAATAATTTTAAAATGATTCACTCAACCAATCAATCCAACTCAAAACACTCCACTTGAACAGTAATGCTTTAACTGTGACGAGCTTTATGACGTCCTCTCTACATAAAAGGATGTAAAGATTCTTCTTCTTAAGTCCTGTAAGGATTCTATAAGAGGATCAAATATATAAGTGCATTTTTACACTAGAAAATTAATGGAGTTTGGAAATGAGCACTATGATTAGTTGCATGGATCAAGCCTTCTAATGAGTAGTCCATCTTGAACGTGCAATTCTAAGAGGCTTGTTGAGTGAAACAGAGGTCAAGCCGCCAATTTGATAGTAAACCTTTGCAATAATGATTCTGATCATATTTTATCTCAAATCTCATCTATATTTAAAAGAACAAATTGTGAACACAAACTCACGAGGAGCTACGGCAATTCAAAAGCAGGCAGCTCACATTTTGGAGAACAATGGGCTAATCTCCACCTGTGGAGAATTCATGAACGCTTTGAGAGCACTTCCACTAAACTGACACTTTAACCAGTTGAAAAAAAATGGGAATAATTGGATCACACTAAATGAATCCATTGCCCACAAATCCTGAACAGTAACCAGTAATCAAGGTAGCGTAAGCTTGCAGCTAAATAGGTAAATAATATTTTCAACAAATTTGTTTTCTGTACGAACAGACCGAAAAAAACCTGTCACTGGCACGATTACATACATTAAACACCTTAAAAAAGTAATCAATTTTCATTCTGACTTTGACAAATACACATTCACTTACCACATGCCACAAAATTGGGTTTTCGATTGTTGCATCTCCAATTATCAAGAAGAGGAAATAGGTTCCAGAGACCGAGCCAAACTCAGACTTCCTCTCAGACACATCCAGGTCAAATTTATACAAACTTTTATTGTCTGGCTCTGCTACGAAGACCACTTCTTGCCCCGTCTTCTGATTGTACAAACGCACGAAAGTCTAAAACATAAAATTAACAAGATCTGGTGGCAGCTCACAAGAATGACAAGTGTGTTATCAATATTTGATTTACCTTTAAAAAGTACATTAATTATACAATTCACTCATGTGCACCCTCATCAATATTTTTAGAAATATTATTCAAAATAGGCCTCACGATGGCTTCAGGAAAATCGCTCGACAACTTGTACATAACATCACTACGCGTCCTACTCCATAGTTTTGAGCCTGTCTGACCTTTCCCAGAGCTCTCTCTTCTCCCACTTACTATTCATAGAGATGGATTTGATTATTCATCAAAATGCTTTCCCTTGTGTTATGGTTCACATCACTAGTACATTACAGGAGTCCTGTAGTTTAGTGGTTATAGCACTCGCCTCGCAAGCGAGAGGATCTAGGTTCAATTCCTGGGCAGGGTGAAACATTGGGCAAGTTTCCTTACTCCACACGCCTCTGTTTATCTAGCAGTAAGTAGGAATCTGGTTGTTAGTAGCTTGGCGGATAGCTTTTCCAGGGGTAATAATCCCTTCAGAGAAAAAAAAAATTTGGTCACTCAATCCACGACTGTTTTGGGGACACTGCTGTGCACAATTGGCTGCTGCGTTTTGCGCACAAAAAATACAGTCAATTCACTTTACAGTATATTCTGTAAAGTGCTTTGAGAAGTTTCAAAGACCCGATGAAGCGCTATATCAAATGCAAGGATTATTATTATTACTTAACCACTACCTCTGCCCATCTCTCTTTCAACCTTGGTTTCCTATGGTGTGGCAGATGTGAGGGATGTCATATGTACCTGGTGTGGAGTAAGCTCTGCGCCGGTGTTCACATCAGCCAGCTGGAAGGATAAGGCAATGTTCTGGTGACTGTCAGCGGTAAGGATTCCCTTGACCTTTAAAGGATAAATCACCCTGCCAAAAAGAACATTGAGGAAAGGATTAAAAAGAGTGCCCATCATTCCATAGCTGTATTTTAGGAACTCAATATCATTATGCATCAGTTTAGAAATAGTTGCTGTCATTTCACACGTCAGCAAATGCAAAAATGATGCTTTCTTTACCTGGTAGTCTTTGGTGCAATGCTCTGATCCTTGTCAACTACTGAAAGGTCAACATTAGTGATACCAACTTCAGTGGCAACCTTGACTTTAAGCTAGATTTAAAAAGAGGTAGGTCAGCATCATATGCAAAACACGATTTTTCAGCATTCATTCAAAAATGCAGTCACATATCATAACAACACGTGTACACAAGCTAGTAAAAGAAGATGGTTACAGGACTTTTCTATCAAGTAAATGTGAAGAGATTAATATTTTACAAAAGTATGCTACAACATGAAATTTTAGTCTATAATAATCTTTGCATTTTGATATTATTATAGACTAAAATCATTTATTCAGGGTATGATAGGGGAAAAGAGGATTGTTTGCACAAATTGCTTTGACACAATGGCCAAAATAACTGGTCTACAATAAATCAGTGTATCTGGGATTGGAAACTAACAATAGCTATCAGTGCAGTATTGACGTCCCGACTAATCAAATGACAATTTGTCACTGAAATTCTAAGATTTGTTCTAAAGCTGAATCAATTGAAGCTTTTTGTTTAAAAAAAACGCAGAAATTCAATCCAGAGTCCTGGTAATAGTTTGCACTGATTAACATTCTTAAACTGGAAATCGGCTTTGTTGTAAGGGAGTGGTGACGTAGTGGTGAAGTTACTAGATTAGTATATTTTCACACAATTATTAGCTAACATTATTAACCAAAGAAATTACATTCAACACAACTTAATAGCTTTCCATTTACCTGCACATGATTTGCAACAAATCGGCTGTCACCCTCCACCCTGACAGAGAATTCATAATATCCACTTGGTGGCTTTGCCTCCATAAAATTCATTTCAAAAAGATCGCTATAAAAAAAAGTTATCAGTGGAAGCTTTTGGTGTTGTTGTTATTGAAAACTACTACACAAAACCCCAAACTGTACAAAATACTTGCAATACTGGATTCAGTTTTACAAACATATTGACGGTATTTTAAAATTATAATGAGATATGAACACAACATTGGTTTTAATCAACATTTAGGTAAACAAAACATTTGTAAATATAAAACAACTATCACATTTCAAAACTAGCCCATTTCAACATGGCACAGCACTAAGAATATGTCCACTTTCACTGTCAAGAGCCAAAGAAAATTCCACATTTTCTAAATTAAACTTACTCTGATGCTTGTAAAGTAATGGAATCCTCAATTAAGTCTAGACTTTAAAAACATCACGACCCTGGTATGCAGTGCAAATTGGCTTAATCCGTTACAGATAAGAAAATGTCCAAATGCAATAATTACATATACTATCCAGAGTTAACCGCTTCCTTACCCCTTCAAAGCAAAAGATGACTGCTGAAGAATTGTGGCTTTGGTTGATGGTGACTTAGCATATTCAAGCTGAACTTCAGCTGAATGCAGACTCTGGGACATGACATTTGTCACATGCAACTGTGGAAAAAGATAATTGGAGAAAGATTAGATGAAGCAAAAGACCAAAAGTAACCAAATACGTCAAACACATGATTGGGAAATAAATTTCACGAGATTTCAAGGCAAGGCCCATCGCTTTAACGTTAAGTGAATATATATTACACAGCTATGCCACAAAAAATGACTTTGGAAACTTGATATTTATATGGAAGCAATACATTTCTAATCTGCCTCACCCACAGAAGGATTATATATTCTCAGTACATAAACTCCCAACATCCAGGTTTGAGCTTTTGTGTCAAAAAAGCTCCCCTTGCCACCAAGATCACATATAACAATCAACAAAGAGAGCCTCACAAAACAGTTGTTCTTGACAACTTAATTTAAGTCATAAACTAAATCAATACTTCACTTCAGGTCACTGAAACATAACCACATTACACAGGCCACAGGCTATTCCCATCACATTTCCAATTCTTTTCAAAATACCAAAACCAGAATTACCCTACACAACATTAATATTTCCAATTAAATATTTTCACAATGTAGAACAATCAATTTTGTTCAGTGACCTGACCAAGACTTAAGCTCAATACTTTTCCTGCAGTCATATAATGCTTATGCAAAAAGCAACTGGAGTTCAAATGATTAAACATTTAAATAGTGACTCATTCGTTCAGATGACACATGTCTTTTTCTTAAAAGCAAACAGCACTGAAATCAATATTGAATCCCACTACTTACAAACCTTCTCCTGTCACCATGAAGGCGAAACAAAACATCAAACTGTATCTCCTTTTGTAATACTGACAGAACTATTCAAAGGCATAGTCAGCCAGCTTGCTTCTCTCTTGCACATTATGAAATAGCTTAATTTTGAAACTATGCTGACAGTCCTACCCCTATGGGTTTTTTTTCTAAAAAGTAGACATTTCATAAAATTAATTTTTCCTAATTCAGGCAACTTTAAACTTGATCTCTCAAAGCTAAGAAACAGTATTATTTCAATGTTGAAAAGACCAACTTACCTTCAGACTCGGGTTCTTATGAGAGACAGAGGCAGGACCTTCAGGTACTACAATAACCGGAATGTGGTACTGATTTTGGGACAAAGCTGCAGCAGCACAGGCAACACTGAATGCTTCTGACAGGGTAGCATAGTGTTTCTTACTGAACACAGCATTAACAAGCTGGATAACTTGGTCCTGTAAATGAAGCCGAAATTCAAAATGTATTTTCCTTCAAATTTGTTAACCTGATGCTTGGAACTCAGTGTACAAACCATGCACTAAATTAACAATACGTAACAGAATACTATGGATTCAAATACATTCACAAAACTCAGAACTGAAACATTATTGAGCAACTAGTTTTGCTTAATATCTGTAGTTGCTCAATAACTGTAGTTATTGAAAAACTATAGTGCATATGGACACAATTAATCCTTAAGGATGCTGATTCAAAGTGCAATGTTATAAAGACATCATCCTGTGACTGTTTTTTACTGCTGGAAGTGATTTGACATCAGTTCCAGCAGACGAGCAATTTGAGTTTGGAAGGTAAATTTATATTTCCCACTTCAAATTGCTTCCATGGGCTGAGAGGATGGTTGCGTTTTCATGAGCAACTGAACACATGTGCATAGTTCCACTAGCCAGTTTGTACTCTGATAATATTTAAGAGCAATATTTTCATTTATTTGTAGGATACTTACATAGCATAATATGATTATGCCATTTTGAATGCATTTGTCAATGTATACATTTCCTACAATCTATTTTAAATATAATTTTAAAAATTATCAAGGAATGAATAATGGTTTGCTCTCGTAAATAAAATTTGGTCTCTGCTTTATACTGTCAGTATTAAAAATTATCACCAGAATTGTTTAGAAATTTAAATAGCGTGAATACAGTATTCCATCCAAGAATTTGCTATACTCAGTATTTTATTTTGTTAGGCAGATTAATCGACCCATCTCATGCACAACAATTACCATATTTATACAAACCCAATAAGCAACTATGTTATTTAAGATGCAACATGTCCCCATGGCTTGTTCATCTTAAATGCCCTTACTTCTTTTATTGTTGGCTCCATTCCAGCGTGGTCAGACAACTTGTACGCTGCAGCTACAAATAGTGCTGTGGTTTCTATTCCCTCTTCAAACTGCAGGTAAACACCGCCAAGATCGTCCAGACGTGCAACCAGGTCCTAAATGAAAAAGCAAATTAATTTACTGCAAACAAGGTTGGTTTTTTAAAACCTTTGATGTGGAGCCCATTTTATATTTGTGTTGACATATTCAAACGGTGGTAGAGCATTGATTATCTGCACTAATTGAAATTGGCCACCTTGTGGATGAGCAAACAGTGCGAATAATTGGTCACCAAGCCAACTACATTACAACAACAGGGCGATTAGACACCCTACACTGCAACGTAAAGTGACAGTTGTTGTAAGAAGGGATGGATGGATCTTTGTTTTGACACTTTGATCTAATCAACTCAAAAGCTAATCTCTCAACTGCTGGCAGCTACAGTGAATGGTGTGATCCCTTGTTTTATTTGACGTCTAAATTCACTTTCTTTTCCAACAAAAAAACATTTGAGCGTTCTGCTTCAGTTACCATAAGATACGAACAGTGAAGCCTACAGAGACTGAAGCCAAACTGTGAAACATCTAAATTAGTTTCCTGTCTTAAAATAATGAGCTTATACTACCCAGTGTTAAGAGAGTCTCACAAGGTCTGCTGCTCCATTAATAAAGTTGATGTATCTATTTAAAAAAAAACTTAAGATGACACAGGAATAGAGATTGAGAATGGATTTAAAACCATTGACAAAGTATCAGATTGGATGAAGAGAAAGAATCAATACAAAGGTACTTGAACTATCAAAACACGAAGGTAAAAAAGCAAACAAAATGTGCAAACACATAGCCGAGGAAGATATTATTATCTGAAATGCTGTACTCTGTCCAGGGCCTTGGGACGTCCTCCCGACATACAAATGTAATCTTGTTGTTGTTGTTGAAGCAATGCATAAATTGAGAGAGGCAAATTTAATTGTGTCTCGTCTTAGTGAGATCACACACAAAATATTTCACGCAGTAAGACAATGCAGTTGTGCCATTTCAAAAACACATTAAGAAACTAATATAGTTGAGAGGGGCACCAATTTAATTTCTGAATTGAGTGGGAAAAAGATGTAAGGAACCATTAGCTAACCTGATACAACAAAAGTTAATTCCGAAACAAAAGTTTTACCTCAATTTCCTCTACGATGAGTCGGAGATCAGCTTGCTGAGACAGATATGACGCTGCAAACAATGCATGAATAATTCTGCAAACAAAACAAAAAAACAAGTGAATTCCTGATAAAAGTATACCAAAGGTGTACTGGATTTATGGGTGACAACTAAAAGACTCACATTGTGCTGTAATAGTATCCATTTTAATTAAATTTTCACCATGACCTGAACTAGAAGTGTTCATATAATGGACTTGCAATCTCATACTAAGAAAAACGTCAGAATAACCAGGGTAGGTTCAATGTAATTGAACCTATAATCTTGTGCGACTGAATTGGAAAAAAAAGGTACAATAGGCAGACTAGGTTTCACTAAATGGATCTGCAATCTCAAACTATTATTGTGTATCAAAAGGTTAGGAGGTTCCCCATTAAATTAGGACATTCAGACTTTATACCACTTTCTGGTTTGAAAATACCTCCCCAGAATTGGATAATTGAAAGTCCCACATCATTTTTTGTGAAAATCAAATTCAAAATGCTTCAAAACTATAGCAGGTCTTTTGGGCTAATCTCAATTTGTTCCTTGTACTATACAGAAAAAATACTTTATTATAAATGGCATTTTTAGTTACTGCACAATTCAGTATCGCGACTGTACCAATGAATGGAGAACAGCATTACCCCAAAGAGTTATCATCTTTGGAGATGCGAGCGCCAAGGGTACGGATAACTTCCTGTGATGACAATGGAAGGCCAAAGCTGCTGAGGGCTCCAACTGCATGGTAAATCTGGGTAATTGAAGAATCTTCACTCACTGCTGCTAACAGTTGGTCTCTGGTTTCATTTTGGACTGCAATCTGGGAATAAATTTCAACAAAAAATCTCAGTAATCAACTTTTTCATCGTCTCGAATGTCACAGATGAGCAAACCCCAGATTCCCAAATCCTTCCAGTCTCTCAGCAAGACTGAGCTTTACCTTCATTAAACAAGTTCGACCCATCAGCTTAATTGGCACGTTGAAGTACAAAGAAGCATAAAGTGTTTATTTCATCTTTCACTCACCTCACAATTAGATAGGACTTGGCTTGCTTCAGCAGCATAAAATAGGGAATCAATATCGCCGGAGTCCACTTGCGATTTCAGAAAGTCACAAGCACCCTTTTTAAAGGAAGCATTCAAACAATTAATTTTCTTTGTAAGATTTTGCAGTTGTAAGAAACAAGAGCCTTTTCAGTATATTCCCTTATCAGAATTCATGTACAATGGATTCCAAAAACTACTGCCTTACCTGTTCATCTGGTACTTCTTCACCTAGCTTATTCAATCCGACTATAGTGTAATAGGCACTCTCCAAATCGGAAAAGGATTGTGTTAAGGTTTCGATTAATCTTTCAACATCAGAGCTTGACAAATAGTCGCTAGGTGTGATGGACTGAGCACTGGCCAACAGAGCCAAGATGAACAGGGAGATTGAGCCTAAAATACAGGAAAGAAAAATATTTCAGACACTGCTCTACTGCCACTTTCTATTAATCCAAAATGTATTTCTGTCGGCACTATGGGAATGCAGTTATTCTTTCAGTTAAAGGGCTGTATAGACCTCCAAACAAACAGAAATGCTACAGAAATGGCTGTCAAAAACACTCCATAATTAGTAACAAAGAAGAATTTTTAATGATGATGACTTAACATCTGCTTGATTTGCACGGAAGATCAGGAAGTAGATCCTTGGGATCTTGGTACGTCCTCCCAACGTGAAAAACGCTATACAAATGTAATTTTGTTGTTGCTGTTGTAGACAGTAAATGTGCTACTTCTCTATATTTGTTACTATCATAGGGAGAATACCTACAGTTCAAATTCTTGATTGTATCTGCAAATGAATGTATGGAGGAAAATAGTTCCATGTTTGCTGTGTAAGAACAAGTTTATTGCAGAACAGGTTTAACAAGTGGTTTAATAATAATATTAATCCTTGCATTTGATATAGCGCATTTTCACATCTTCGAGACGTCTCAAAGTGCTTCACAGAATATGCTGTAAAGTTAATTGACTGTATGTTTTGTGGGAGAAACGCCCACAAAACATACAGTCAATTCAATGAGTTTATTACTTTGAAGGAAGGAAAGCAGATTATGGACAGAGGTTGACCGCAGCAGCAAGATTTACATGTTACTACACACATTTGCCTAAAATCAATATTCATCCAAAGCAATATTTACTTCCTGGAGGAAGTCAATAATTTAATAAGTTTTGTTCCATACACTTTTTTAAAAAAAAACTGTCATCATCCTGGGGGGTTGGGTAGGGCAGCAGGAACATGGAAAGGCTGAATGCTAACAAAGGGGTGATATTCCTGCTGACAGTGTGGGTATTTAATTTGGTCAACCAGATATCTGGCACAATAAGACCGTGTTTCAAACCAAAGTCTTCAAACCAGGCTCCTGAGAGTTCACGAGGTGCAAGCAAAGGAGCTGCCATTGCATCTGCAAATATCGCTTCCAGGTTTTGAACTGAGGCCCTTGGCTTCCTTACTCCAATCCCCAGATGTGAAGATGAGAGTATTGGGTGGGGGGGGGGGGGGTGGATATAGGTAGAATGGTTTGGGGGACACAGGGTACAGTGGGTGTGGAGGTACAATGGGGAATGGTGCCAGATTCGGGCAGTTTGCGCCCGAGCGTGTTTTTTGGGGTTGTGCCATGCCCGAGAAAACAGCTTCAAGCAGGTGCCTAATTTTTCAGCTTTCGACTTAAACCTGCAAAGCCTTCTCCCCCACCACCCCCGGCCCCCCCCCCCCCCCCACCCCAACTAGCCCCACTCCCCCACTCTTACTGGCTCACAATCACAGAACGGATTGATTTGAAGATGCTCTCACCAGCTTTCAAATAACTTCATGCCCTCGCACCTTCCTACCTATCCGACTGGCTTCCCCCCACCCCCTTCCACCACCCCACCCCACCCCCCGCCTCTGGCCTCCCGTTTGTCCCTCGTGCCCTCGGCCACCAGCGCCCCAAAACTCTGGAACCACCTTCCTCGATCTCTCGCCTTGCCCCTCCTGCGCGCCTTTCAAATCCCATCTACAACACCTTCCTTTTGATCGCGCTGAGGGAGGGGGTCACCTTCCCTCTCCCCACCGCCCGCCCGCCCGCCCCGGCTCTTTATCAGGACTCCGCCACTGTCAAGCGCCCCGAGGCGCTTACCCCGCGTGAAGGGGCGCTACACAAAACCCCGCAGCCCCGCGCAATGCTTTCCTTTTCCAAGTACCTATCCCGATTCCCTTTTGAAAGCAACTATTTCGTGGACTTTTCGGCTACAAACGAACCTTAGTTTCTACCAAACCCCCCCCTGACGACGTGTGGGTGGGTGTGTGGGTGGTGGGGTGTGGGGGTGGTGGGGTGTGGGGGGGAGGAGGTGGTGGTGGGTGTCAATGATCCCGAAGTGACTGCAGAGGGAGCCTCAGAGCGGGAAAGAGAGAGAGAGAGAGAGAGGGAGGGGTGGCTCAGGCCACGTCCGCAGACAAGACACGGGCCCTGGGGAGCGGCACCGGTAATGGAGGACGAACGTGAGAGGCGCTCAGCCCCGGATTGTGAGGGGAAGGGAGACGGAGTTGCAATGGGGGCTGAGGCCGGGGGGCGGGAGCGGGGGGGGAGGGGGGCTCCTTACCTGGGTCCCTCATTGTGACAGAGCCTCGAGCTCTCAGCTCAGGGAGGGCGAACCGGCGCGAGCGAGCGAGGGAGCGAGCGTTCACTTCCGGGGGCAACCGACCCGTCCACTTCACCCGAGAGAGGGAGAGTCAGGGATGGACTCCACACACACACACACACACACACACAACTCAAACCTCCAACAACAACAACAACCGCAAACAGCCGCGTGAGACTCGCAGGGAAATGACTAGAATGCGGCGTTTCAATCACAATCAACTCAAATCTATTCGATTAAGAAGATGTTGGAATGGACCAAAGCTCCTCCTCCCCCCCACACGCCCCCCCCCCCTCCCACACTTCTTCGCGAGCGGCGCCGAAAGCTAACGCTTTGCTTTTCGTCACCGACTTTTTTTAATGATATTATTATTGTTGTTGTTGTTGTTCCTTGGTGATAACGGCGCGCACGCGAAAAAAAAAACCCCAAAAAACGGTCTATTTGATTCCGCCGCCTCGTCCCTCAGAGTCCGATTCTATTCGCGTTGCATTTGGTCGTGGAATAACAATGGCCGAAACGAGTGGCCCTGGAGGCGGGGCGGGAAGCCGAGGTGTCGCCTCCTCATTGGCCGCTTGAGCCGCCACTCACCCGCCCTCGGCCGTGAGGGGGCGGGACGTGAGTCACGTCACCGGACTGTGTGACGTGGACGTCGAGGCCGCGGGAGCGGGAGCGGGAGGCGGTTGACGCCGAGGCCGATGGCGCCGCCTTGGGGGGGGGGGGCGGTGGGGGATGACGAGGGACTTGAGTGATCAGGAGAGGGGCCAGAGCAGCTTTGGGATGAGTCCCCCCCGGAGCAGACATGGTCAAGAGGAGACCTCGTGGAAAGTTTTCTTCGAAATTACGAGGGGATTCGATAGGGCGAACGAGGGAGAAACCCTCAAAGCCGATCAGGAACCTCGGGGTTCCCCTCGACCCTGAGCCGTCCTTTCTCCCTCACATCCGCGCCACAACCGGCACCGCCTTCCATCACCTCCGGGACATCGCCAGGACCACGGCACTACCTCACCCCTCACGCGGCTGAAGCTCTGGTCCACGCCTTTGTCACCTCAAGGCTGGACTATGGGAACTCTCTCCTCGTCGGCCTTCCCGGCCCTCCCTCCACACTGCAGGTCATCCAGAACTCTGCAGCTCGTGTACTGTCCCGCACCAGACACCGCGACCACATCACTCCCACCCTCACCCTCGCCCTCCCCCTCGCCCTCGCTCGCCTCCACTGGCTCCCCATCCCCCAGAGGATTGATTTCAAGATCCTCACCCTCACCTACAAGGCCATTCACGGCCTTGCTCCCTCCTACCTCTCTGACCTACTGTCCCCCTACCTACCTGCCCGTACCCTCCGTTCCTCTGGCTCCGGTCTGCTCCACATCCTCCGCCCCAACTGCCCAACCATCAGTGGTCGGGCTTTCAGCCTCTCAGCCCCGAGGCTCTGGAACTCCATCCCCCAGTGCCTTCGCTTTGCTTCCTCCCTTTCCTCCTTCAAGGCCGGTCTCAAGACCTTTCTCTTTGACCGTACCTTCAGCTCCGCTCTCGACTCTCTACCCCCTCCTCGCTCCCTCCCTTCCCTCCCCTCACCCTGACCATTTCCCCCCAATGCTCGGGTCCTGACCCAACTGTACAGCGCCTTGGGACGTCCTCCCGACGTGAAAGGTGCTCTATAAATGGAATCTTGTTGTTGTTTCCCGCTGGCGGACGGGTTGGTAACCCCGAGCAACGCCGATTTAAAATGGCTATTGACAGAAACGTGAAGGGGGAAAACGTTCTCACGCGGCGAGTCGAGTCGTTCGGATCTGGGATGGCGTTGCCTGGCAGAGGGCGGCGGAAAAGCCGATTCGATTGCAGCTTTTAAGAGAGAAGCCGATGACTGTTCGGGGAGGACGAGTTTGAGGGGCCACGGGGATGGGGAGAGAGCCCTGCAAACGCCCGGTCCCTCGCCAGCACCGCTTTCTTCCACCTCCCGACGCATCGCCCCCGTCTCCGCCAATACCTCTCTTTCCGAAAGCCGCTGATAGCCTGGTCCATGCCTTTGTCACCTCCCGGCTGGACTATTCGAACGCCCTCCTCGCCAGCCTCCCCTCCACTGCCATCCATAAAATCCAGATGATTACAAAACTTGTTGCCCGCATTCTCACCCGCACCAAACTCCGGTCCCCGATCCCCCCCAGTCCTGGCCAGACTGCACTGGCTGTCTGTCCCAGAGAGCATTGATTTCAAGATCCTCACCCTTGTCTTCAAATCCCTCCTCTCCTCTGCAACCCCGACCTCTCTGACCTCTCTCCTCAAAACAGTACCCTTTGCCTTTGTTCCACCGGGTCTGGCCTCCTCCTCGTTCCCCGAGTCCTCCGCTCCACCCTCGGCGGCCGTGCCTTCAGCCACTATGCCCCGAGGCTCTGGAACTCTGTTCCTCACTCCCTTCGTCTCGCTCCCTCTCTTTCTATTTTCAGGACTTGGCTGAAGACATTTTTTTCAACCGCGCCTTTGGTCACCTTCCTCCTCTTCCCCCTGGCTCGAGCCTGGGATCCGTTACTGTGAAGCGCTCTGAGACGCCGTCCGTGGAGGGCGCTATATAAATCCAAGTTGTGTGCAATTGGCTGCCGCGTTTCACCCACAAAAAATACAGTCAATCCAATTTACAGTATATTCTGTGAAGCGCTTTGAGATGTCTAAAGGACGTGAAAGTGCCATATAATAATAAGAATAATAATAATCCTTGCATTTGATATAGCGCTTTTCACGTCGGGAGGACGTCCCAAAGCGCTTCACAGAACACACTGTAAAGTGAATTGACTATATTTGTGGGCGAACGCAAATGCAAGGGTTATTATTATTAGTAGTAGTAGTAGTAAGCCCTGGATACAGAACTGGCTGGGAGAAATACATATTTATAAATATATTTGGCACAACAGAAATCCAAAACAAACACAATGAACATCTTCTGTTTCAATTTTTTTCCCTTTCTCCTAATATAAAAAACATTCCCTTGTTTACTGTACATTCCTTCACCGCACACAGGTTGTGCACACGTTCCAAGTACAATTTGCAAGATAGGAGGAGTAGTAAATAGTGAGGAGGATAGTAGCAGACTGAAAGAGGACATTGACACACTGGTAACATGGGCAGATGTGTGGCAGATGAAGTTTAATGGGGAGAAATGTGAAGTGATACATTTTGGGAGGAAGAATAAGCAAAGGCAATATAAGCTGATGGAACAATATTAAACAGAGTGAAGGAACAGAGAGACCTGTGGGTCATATAAGTAAATCTTTGAAGGTGGCAGGACAGGTAGATAAATCTGTTAAAAAAAATGGGATATTAGGCTTTATAAATAGGGGCATAGAATACAAAAGTCAAGAAGTTATGATGAACTTTTATAAAACACTGGTTAGGCCTCAGCGAGAGACTGTGCTCAGTTCTGGCCACCACACTTTAGGAAGGATATCAAGGCATTGGAGAGGGAGCAAAGGAGATTTACCAGTATGGTACCAGGAATGAGCCAACTTCAGTTGTGCGGAGAGGCCAGAGAAGCCGGGATTATTCTCCTTGGAGCAGAGAAAGTTAAGAGGAGACTTAATAAAATTCGATAGGGTGAACAAGGAGAAACTATTTCCACTGGCGGGTGGGTCGGTAACCCGAGGACACCGATTTAAAATAGTTGTTAAAAGAAGCAGAAGGAAGGTGAGGAGACATTTTTTCACCCAGCGAGTTGTTCGGATCTGGAATGCATTGCCTGAAAGGGTGGTGGAAGTTCGCGTCCTACTTAACCAACCACCTCCATTTCATCTCAGCAAATGGTTTCTCCAACCGCCCCGCCAGGTCACCTGCAGGGTATCCCGGGGCTCCATCCTTGGCCCTCTACTTTTCCTTATCTATATGCTCCCGCTGGGCAATATCATCCGCAGAACTTCCACATGTATACGGATGACACACAAATCAATTTAGCCTCCTCCAGTACCAACTCCAGGTCCGCTGTTGTTCTATTGGCTTGTCTGGCAGACATAAGAGCCTGGATGAGTGTAAACTTCCTGCAGCTGAATATGGACAAGACAGAAGCCATACTCCTAAGGTCCCATCAATGCCTTTGCTTCTGCAGATCTAAACTCCTCAACCTCCCTGGGTTCTCCCTCAGACTCACCGAACAGTGCGCAATCTAGGTTGTCCTTCCTCACCCACATCCGATCCCTGACCAGGACTGCCTTCTTCCACCTCCGCCACATTGCCCGCTTCCAACCGTACCTTACCCTAAATGCAGCCGAAACCCTCGTGCATGCATTTGTCACCTGCCTGGATCACTCAAAACGCACTCCTCGCTGGTTTCCCCAGCTCCACCTTTCACAAGATCCAGCTGATTCAGACTCTGCCGCCCGCATACTGACCTGGACCTGTATAAGTGCAAGTTGTTGTTGGAAGCCGATTCGATTACAACTTTTAAGAGAGAAATAGATCTTTTTTTGGGGGGGTGGAGGGGGGCGACAAGATTGCAGGACTATGGGGAGAGAGTGAGGGAGTCAGTTTGATTTGGATAGCTCTTTTCAAAGAGCCGGCACAGACACGATGGGCCAATTGGCCTCCTTCTGTGCTGTATAATTCTATGATGTGTTGCTGAAACTCAATTTCACAGCCACATCTCTTTTATCAGCAGTTTTCTCAAGCTCTGTGTTCTCAGCAACTTCTGTTTTTATTCCAATATTATGTGTTGCCAGCTATAGCTAGCAGAGTGACCCAATTTATGTTGGTGCTTTTGAAACCGTGTAAGAAAAGGCACACGTGGCAAAGGCTTCCAAAGCTAAGGTGACTAACCCCCACCAACTCTCAGAGCCAAACTGAGCCTCCAGAGCCAGGCTGACACCTGCACTTAATGGATGTCAGCCTGGCTCTGTCGCTCTTGAGAGCAGACAACTCAAGACGGTGTACAAAATTTTAAATGGTCTTGAAAAAATCCAGGTCATTACATTAGGATGTACGGTGACAGTAGATCAACAACAACAACTTGCATTTATATAGCGCCCCTCACGCAGAATAGCGTCCCAGAGCGCTCGTCGGTGGCGGAGTATGACTCCGAGCCGGGAGAAGCGTGAGGTGACTGTAGGCACAGTCGAATGGAAAACGAGCACATAGATTAAGAGCTGTAATGGGCAATTGCAGGACAGACAC